CTGCCGTGGGGCTGCGGGGCTGCCGTGGGGCTGCGGGGCTGCCGTGGGGCTGCGGGGCTGCCGTGGGGCTGCGGGGCTGCAGGCTTTGACAAGCGCTTGGCAGCTCAGGCTCAGATGTCTGACACCTCCCAAGTGTGGGGACTGGAAAGGGCAGTCTCTTCTACTGAAGGCATTGTGGGCAGCCTCTCCCTTTCTAGAACCCTCTTACTCTCCCCTGTTGCTGCTACAAGCTGCAATCTATGTCACCTCTCAACTTCAGAAACAGCTTCTTCCAAACCTTCTGGGTAGGATGAGGCTCATTTGGTAGTGTCTGCCCCAGCCTCAGCCCTTACAAACCTGCTGCGTACCCTGCTGGCAGTTGGGGCAAGCAGGAGCATCAGAACTCTAAGGTCATCCTCAGCAGCATGCCAAGTTTGAAGCAAGTATAGGAGACCCTATTTCAAAACACCAAGCCAAGGGCCAGAGAGATGGCTCAGCCAGTTAAGAGAACTGGATGTTCTTCCAAAGGATGCAAAAACACCCATACACATAAAATAAAAAGAGGCAGGTGGATCTCTGTGAGTTCGAGGCCAGCCGGGTCTACAGAGCAGGTTCCGGGACAGCCAGGGCTACACAGAGAAACCCTGTTGAAAGAAAGGAAGGAAGGAAGGAGGGAAGGAGGGAAGGAGGGAGGAGACATCGGGAGGGAGAGAGGGAGGGGGGAGGGAGAGAGGGAGGGGGGAGGGAGGGGAGAGGGAGGGAGGGATGACCCCTTTTGATGCACTCACAGAAAGGGGGTGGAACTGTGGTTAACCAGGGCCACAGAGGGAGTAGAAGAGCAGAATGGGGAGAAGCTGATCAAGCAACTAAGGGAACTAAGTTCTAGAAACACAGGAGAGCACTGCCATTTTCAGGAGGGTTAAAAAAAAAAAGGACTTGAAATGTCCTAACCATTAAAAATTACAAATATATGAAATGAAGCTGTGTAAGTACTACATGATTTATTTATGTGTCAAAATACCATGAGGTCCCATGACATAACTTTAATGTTTTTAGACTTTTAAATGTAGTACAGTGGTAGGGGGGAGGGGCTACAGTGGTGGGGGAGGGGGGCGGGGCTACAGTGGTAGGGGGAGGGGGCGGGGCTACAGTGGTAAGGGGGAGGGGGCGGGGCTGAGTACTAGTCTCAGATCCAAATAGCAATATACGTGCGTACGTGTGTGCGCGCGCGCGTGTGCACGCGTGTGTATACATGCTTGTTAACTGTGCACACCTGTGGAAACTACCAGTTGATGTTAGGAGTCTTCCTTTATTTCTCTCCACCTTATTTTTTGAGACAGGGTCTCTCACTGAGCCTGGAGCTCATCATACAGTAAGACGAGCTAGCCAGCGAGCTCCAGGCATCTTCCTGTCTCCACCTGCCCAGTGCTAAGATTATAGGTGTGCACCGCTATGCCCAGCTTTTTTGTGGGTGCTGGGGAGCCATATTCACTCCTCATGCCTGTATGGCAAGTAGTTTTGGTGCAAACAGTTGCGCTCATCCTGTTCCCTCTAGTGAATGCAGGTGGGAAAAAACATGGATGGAAATGGCCATGCCAATCACTTGTTCTTTACCTTGGGATTACCAAGCAGGGCTCCCCCTCCTGTTCCTGGGCACAGGGAATGCCTGTCTCTACCCTCAACAAGCTGTGAGGAAGAAAGAAAGAAAGACGCTACTACAAGGAGACATGGTAGGAGCACAGGATGACACCATGGCAAAGAACAGACTGTGGCGTCACCACATGTGGCTTTTATTTTACCATCCGCAGAGCAAGCACCATCGAAATTCTGTGTCTAAACTTAAGGAATGATTCCTCATGGCAGGGAGGGGACCTGGAGAAAGGCTCAGTGCTTAAGACTGACTGCTGCCCTCTCAGAAGAGCAGGGTTCAGTTCCCACCAACCATATCACACGGCTCACAAATGCCTGGTATGCCACCTGGAAGGGATCCAACTCCCTCTTCTAGCCCCCACGGGCACCTGCACACACATGTGCCCATACCGTCTCACACACACACACACACACACACACACACACGCACGCACGCACGCACGCACGCACGCACGCACGCACACATGACTTTTTTTTGTTTTTTTTGAGAGATGGTTTCTCTAAATAGCCCTGGCTGCCCTGGAATTATCAGGTACACCAGGCTGGCCTCCTGAGTGCTGAGATTAAAGGTGCATGGCACCACACGTAAGGCATTTTCTTAATGAGTTATTAACCTGGGAGAGGGAGCATCCGGTGGAACTTGCTGGTGTTCATCTGTCCAGGTTGTAAGTTATTTCTCCCTGAATAAACATCTATTCGGCCTATTTGTTTATCCTGATCCTTATTAAACCGTGATACTGTTGATAACACTTCTGCTCAGAGAAACTGAGTTAGGGTCCCAATACCCACATCGGGTGGCTCACCATCACCTATATCTCCAGCTCACTGGGACATAGGTCAGCCTTGACTATAGTGAGTTCTAGGACAGCTACAGAGTGAGAGCCTGTCTTCCAAAATATATTATCTTGGCCTCTTTATTTCCTCATTTTTTTTTTATTATTCTAGCTGCACTATAAATACTATAAAAGAGTCCCCAGCATTGGAGAGATGGCTCAGTGGTTAAGAACACTGGCTGCTCTTCCAAAGGACACAGGTTCAAATCCCAGCACCCACACGGCAGCTCACAACTGTAACTCCAGTCTCCAGGGGATGCTACACCCTCACACAGATATTCATGCACAAATTCATGCAAAAACACCAATGCACAAAATAAAAAAATAAATACCAAAAAAAAAAAAAAAAAAAACTCTTGCCACACTCAGGCAAGATTAAGTCTATTCCCAAGGTTTCTGCCAATCCATTTTGAAGGCTGTGAAGACAGGCACAGACACTACCTGCCATGTGTTAGAGAGGAGAGGAGGCCTGGCTGCTGATCCTAACAAAACACAGAGAAAGCTAGCCTGGGCCTGTGGGTAAGGAGATGGTATGGTATAGTGCAGTAATGTAGGAGTTCAAACTCTGGACTCAGTCAAATTCAAATTCCAGTTCTTTTATGCCCTAGATGTGAGGCTTGAGTTCAGTCTCCTCATCTGTAAGACAGCACTACTAAGAGAAGCTACTAACAAGGGCGCCCTCTCCCACTACTGTTCTTCCATCTGGGTTAGGGTGCTTAGCCTGGGCCAGTTGAAGAGTAGCAAGGCTCTTCTTGCCCTGACTCAGTAGAGAATGACTCTGGAGATGGTGTGCTAGGCAATAATCCTTCTGCACAGTGTAAGTTATGCTGCGATTGGTTTAATAAAGAAGCTGACTGGCCAATAGCCAGACAGGATAAGAATAGACAGGAAAACCAGACCAAGGACATTGGGAAAAAGAAAGGCAGAGTCAGGGGAGTCCACCAGGAGGCAAAAAGGGAGCAATACTTGCTAGAGGAGAGGTAAAGCCGAGTCACATGGAATACATAGATTAATAGAAATGAGTTCATTTAAGTTGTAAGAGCTAGTTAGTAATAAGCTTGAGCTATCGGTGGAGCATTTATAATTAATACTGAGTCCCCATGTTGATAGGGAACTGGTGGGTGGGAAACAAAAGTCTACCCACAATGGTGATATGTTAATGAAGATGATCATAACTTTTTCCATGTTGCTGGGCACTGGGGGCGCATGCCTTTAATCCCAGCACTCAGGAGGCAGAGGCAGGCAAATTCTGTGAGTTCGAGGCCAGCCTGGTCTATGAAGCTACACAGAGAAACCCTGTCTCAAAAAACAAAACAAATTAACAAACAAATCTTCCACGTTGCTGTGTTAAATACTTTCATACAGCAAGTTCCAGGCACGTCAGGGCTACATTGTAAGAACTTGTCTCAGAAGAATCCCGACCGCAGGCCGTTTGAGCTGGAGATGTAGCCCCATGAAACAGCACTTGCCTATTACGCCTGAGGACCTGGGTTCGATCCTGAAGGAGTCTGACCTTTGGAGCCAGACTGTCAATATCTAAACCCCAGCTCTGAATCAATCATCTAATCACCCAGTCAATCAATCAATTGATCAATATTCGCCCTCACACTGCAGAGAAATGATACTAAGTTACAGCATCTCTTTGTTCCCATTCCTCACTACTAAGTGGGGCACATATTATCATCTAGCAGTTTCTCTACAGTGTTATGCTGAAAATTAAATTCACTAGCGACACATAAGTATAAAATAACTAGAAAAGAACCCAGCACATAAGCAATGATTTTAAAAAATATGGTTAGCTTTTATAATTATTCTCATTGTAATTTTGGAAGAGTAAATACTAAGTTAATTCTATTTTGCTTGGTATTAAAATATGTTTTAGAATTAAAACATATATTAGGTGATTATAAAGACAAACCAGAGAGAAGAGTAAGAAAATGGTTTAATTATTCTATTAAGTGTATGGGTGTTTTGGCTACATGTGTCTCTGTGCACCCCTTATGTGCCCATTGCCTGCAGAGGCCAGAAGACACTGAATCTGCTACAACTGGAGTTAAGACAGTTGTGAGCAGCACTTTGATTGCTGGGAATTGAACCTGGGTCCTCTGAAGGGCGGCCAGTGCTCTTAACCACTTGAGCTGTGGCTGAGCCATCTCTCTAGCCTCAAAAAAAGGTAGAGTTTAAAAGGCACAGGGCAGAGAACAGAAGCAGATCAGGGCTTCTATTCGCTATGAAGTGGACAATGCAAGCATAGATGAACGCAAGTGTGGCTGCACACATCTACAACCCCTGTCACTCAGGAGGCTGCAGTGGGAGGATGGAGAGGTTCAAGACCAGCCTAAGCAATTCTACAAGCACAAGTTCAAGGCCAGCTTGGTCTATATAGCAAGTTCCAGACTAGCCAGCATAAGCAGAAGGAAGAAACAGAGAGGTAATACTGAAAAGTGTCACCCTCATAGAACCAACATTACCACACGTGTTCAATAAAACCTCAGAAATAGACGTAGGGTCAAGGAAAGACAGGTGGCATACACTCACTCATGGACTCTGCTGTCACCATAGAGATCGCTCAGGCCGAAGCTGATGTAGTGCCAGTGCTCGGGGATGTTGGCAGAAGGACTCCCCATATTCCTGTACATACTAACATAATCCAATGGATCTGGACCACCCAACCTGCAAAAGACAAGACACAGGTGTCAATTTAAACCTGGATACCAGAAAATATCAAGTAAGAGGCTCTGCTCTGCAAACCCAAAAGCCCCATCCTAGAGGGACCTAAAGCAAAAGATAACTAAAGGGTGGCAAAAATCTCTTTAGCAATTTCCCAAGGGACAAGCAGCTGAGGCGATGTGATCCCACATGACCAAGAAGCTCCCTTCTGTTCCCTCTGAAGCAGACTTGCTGGTTGCACATCGTGCTTTCACCTGTTGCAAGTTGCTGACTCCAACTGGAGTCTTTTGTGGTGTCTGACAGCATGCCAGGCTTCAAGGTAAGGGATGCATCAGTTAATCAATGGCTTCTGTTGAATGACTATCCAGAGTATGCCCAATGGACGTCATTCCTGGCAGCAATCAGTCTACACCTGTCTCTTAGCTAGTTCCTGAAAGTCTGTATTGTGTCTCTATTATTGTTTCTTCTAAATACACACAAAGCCTCCAGTCTGCACAGATCCTGCACTCCATAGATCAAAACTCTCTCAGTCGAGTGACAAAATCCACACATCAGCTAGCCCAGCTCTGCACAGAGCACGGCAGCATGAACCAGGCTGACCATGTGAGCACCTGCATGCTAGGGAACATCCCAGGGGACATTTGTCTCAAAGAGGAGCGGGGACAGTTCACAATTTGACGCTCCCAAGGCTCACATTAAATCTCCCCATAAATCCAACAGAGAAGCAGTTGAAGAAGATATTCAGTCATTACCTCACTGAAGATTTAATTCGATAAAAGTTCTTTTAGTGATCAGTGCTTAAGCAAAGCAAACCAAGCAACAAACAAGACTCCCTGCCTTCAGAATGGACAGGAAAGCACAGTAGACTTGAGAACACACTAAATAGAAACCATCAGCAGAACAAAGTGTGCACTGAGCCCATGAACTCCACATGTGCGCTGCCTCACATGGACCACGACACAGACTAGAATCTTCGCCTGGCCCTGGACCATGGGCAGGAGTGCACTTTTTGCACATGGACTAAACTACTGAGGGACTGACTGCTAACAACCAAATAAAAGACACGGTACAGGAGAACCCAGCAAGTGTGCCAGGACCGAGCAATTCAAACCCTATTTTAAAACCAGTAAGTCTGGTTTCGTCCTCTTTGCCAGGATGTTATTAGGTTTTGCAGAAATCCTTATTCTCTGGGGAAAAAGAAAAGAAAACGCTGTTATTTATAGAACTCATACGAAGTAAAGTCACTACAGATAGCTTACATCTCACCTGAGTGAGTTAGGAAAAGGGACAAGCCTTTATGTCCGTCTTTGGTCTATTTGTTTGTTTGTTTTTCAAGACAGGGTTTTCCTGTGTAGCTTGGCTGTCCTGGAACTCGATCTGTATAGATCAGGCTGGCTTGGAACTCACAGAGATTCCCCCTGCCTCTGCCTCCAAAGTGCTGGGCGTGCACCATCACCAAATCACTGGACTAAATCCATAACCAGTTGTATTTAGAAACACTTTGGGGAAGGATAGAAGAAAATGAGCCGGGCATTGGTGGTGCATGCCTTCAGTCCCAGCACTCAGAAGGCAGAGGCAGAAGGATCTCTGTGAGTTCAAGTCCAGCCTGGTCTACAGAGCGAGTTCCAGGACAGGCTCCAAAGCAATACAAAGAAACCCTATTTCAGGGGGGAAAGAATGAAGAAGAATGAAAAGGACCCTATTGTGGGCTGCAGAACCCTAAAAAAGCCAGGGTCCATATTCCCTCCAGCTTCCTGCTGCAAATCCCCAAGAGCCTTTGCTGCAGCCTAGGTCCATTAAGCAACAAGCAGTGACACTGTGCTGGATGTCCTGCTCCACCTGCCACCACACCATAGCTCCTCAGACAGTCTCCCAGGAGAGGGCACATCAAGAAGAGGCCTTAAGAGGAGGCAGAGAATGGCAAGAATCAAGCAGCCTCAGAGCCAAGCTCAGAGAGCGCTGTTCTATCATCCACACTCAGACGAATGTTGAAAACCGTGTTTGACACTTAGGGAAAGATGTGCTCTAATGGCCTAAGGCATCCCTTAACACCTGACTTCCCTATAGGGCAGCTGCAGGACTAGAGTGGACCCTGAGCACCTGGCTCTGCCTCCCTGCTCTGATCCTTGCTTGTGAAAAGTCTCAACTATTAGTAGGAGAACCCCTTCCAGCCAGGGACCACTAGCTAAATCCTATAGCCAGACCCAAGCAGTTTAGTACCCTGCTATGAGAACTGAATGGGCTGGTAAGATCCTCAAGGTGAGGTTATGAGTAAACTTGAGTATCTCAATTCTGCAAATCCCTCTAAGTCTCAGGAAAAAAAAAAAAAAAAGAGTTGCTTCCTCTTATATTCCCACATTTAGGTGGCACTGATTTCACAAAATGCTCTACATGCCTTCCCAATTGTTACCACATGCTGGTCTACCTCTGAGGATACAGCCTCACTACAAGCTTGTGGTAGAAGGAAGAAAAAGCGTGCTGTAACTACCTTGGTCCTTTGCATAATGCTTCCATACCCTGAACGCACAGCTCTAGTGACAGTCATGCAGGTAGCTGCCCTACTCTGTGAGGGACTTCCCCTCCCGCTTAAACAAGATCAGAGCAAAGGACATCAAGGAAAGGCCAGCCTCATTTCTCTTATAACCTGGGACAAGTGCACAACATAGATAAATACAGAGGCACAATTAAAATGATTGATTAAGTTAGCAAGAGCTACTGGTTGTAGTGGCGCCTGCCTTTAATCACAGTACTACAGAGACAGAGGCAGGGGAATCTCTGTGAGTTCAAGTTCAGCCTGGTCTATAAAGGGAATCCCAGGACAGCCAGAGTTACATAGTGAGACCCTGCCTCAAACAAACAAGGCTAGCAAGAGCTGTTTTCCTCTCAGGAGCACTCTTGAAACTGTTCAGCCTGGGAACAGCATGCCTGCGCAGGCGCACTGGGACATGCCTTCTGGCTACCAGGGCACAGGCTGGCCCCTGGGCCGGCAGACTGTCACTTTTCTTTGTGACGTCCTCTCACTGACACAGGGAGTTAGTCTCAGCCCTGTACAGCCTAACTGCCTTCCCCAGAGGCAGTAAGAAGATGCCACATAGGAAAAGGACAACCTTAAAGGCGCGGACCAGCAACAACATCCACTTCCCCTTCAGGTCCACCTTTTGGTCAACCCCAAGCAGTTGCCCAGAGGGTCTTCCAGGGTCCACTGCAAAGGATCATCTAAATTTCTGCATGAATGTGGCCACCATCTCTTGGTCTATTTTTGGTCCAGAAAGACAATGAAAATTCGTCCCCAGAACACCTGTTTTGTCTGAATACTGACTGAAGAAACGGGTTGCAAACGAGAACGGGAAATCAGCAAGGGTAGTTTCTACCCCCAAGGGCAGCCCATTTGGAAACTGATCTTTTTCTGAGCAACTTTAAACTTATCCTAGGCTTCCCATAGAAACTTCGGCTGAAATTCCGAAGGCGTAGCAGGAAGCGCTTCTTCAGGCTGCCCTTCATTGCAGCTGCCCACAGCTCAGGTCTCCATCATGAGGATAGCGGCAAGCAACTACCCATCAAGAGGATAGTGGCAGGCTTCAACCCCGAGCCAACGCATGGCTCACTGAGCCTGTTCTTAACTAAGGTCCTAAAGCAAAAGCAGCTGCAACGCCAGAAGCAAGCTCTGCGGAGAGAACTGTGCAGAGTAAGCAAAAAGTTTATCTGGAAGAGTTAGTTGCTCTGTCAAACTTCAAGAACGACAGCTTCGCACTGAATGACAGAATCTCCGGCGCTCGGGAAGGTCCGGAAAGAAGGTCGTCTCAACTCTCCACTCATCAAAGGCACAATGCCCTCATCTTGCTCCCTCCTAGCCCACAGGGGCGTCCTGGTCCCCAGACCGCCCTAGACTCGGCGGTCTCGTGCCCTCCAAAGCCCTCTCATATGTTCTCCAGGCCCCGCCTCACCTCCCCCAATCCACTCCAGCCGCCCCCAAGCCCACTAATGACCCACTTCAGGCGCCCCCTCCTTTCTCCACGTTTACAGTTCCCTCTCACACGTCCCCCCTCCGCTCCTGCAAACACCCCCAGTTCTCAGTTCCCCCAATCCCGGTTAACCCCTCACTACTCAAGGGATCCGTTAACCCTTTGTCCCCACTCTCAACTTGTCCTAACTCCTTCCCCAGCATCAGGAAGCTCCCGATTCCCAAGTACTTTGACCGTTTTCTTCCTCGCCCTCCTGCAAACTACTTCGTCCCCGGCGCTCGAAGCTTTCCCGGTCAGCCCTCGTCTTCCCGAGGCCCAGAGCATACCAGTACTTGACGATCGCGGTGACCTGGAGCGGGTTCGGCTGGTCAGGGTAAAGGCGGCGGCACTCTCCGTAGATGGCGTGCAGTCCCGGGGGAAAGAGTGAGGCGAAGGCCGGAGGGGCACTAGGGCCAGGGGCCGGGGGCGCAGCGGGGCCGGGGGCTACGCTAGGCCGCAGCTCCGCCATCGGGGCGCGTAGGGCGCGCGGGGAACCCGGGAGGGTAGAGGAAGGAAAGCGCCCCGATGGGCCAGCGGACCCACTGTGGATGAGACTCCCCGAGGCGATGGGGGCTACGGCGAGGTCTAACTCCGCGCCTGCGCACGGTGCTCCGTCCGCCCAAGCCCTAGCCTTTGCAGAGTCGGCCAGAGGGTGCTGCGGGACCGCGGGGAGCTCCAGGGGGTGGGGCGTCGGCGTGCCCTTGACTGGCACCTATTGGCTAGTGCCGTTGCCAGTCACAAATGGGGAAGGCGTGACTTGACAATAGGCCCCGCCTCCCTGCCTCTGTGTTGGGAACGTCCCAAGGATCTTGGCCTCCCCCTAGTGTTAGGAGGAACCCAGTTTTAAGCGGAGACGCGGTACTTGAGGTGCTAGGGACAGTGAAAGCTCTAAGAAGCTCCTACAGAACGCTGAATATTGTTTTGCTGATGCACGATTTTAAGATAAGCCTGACAACTGACCAATTCATTCGTTTGTGTGCCGTGTGTCATTATTAATGTATTACAACTCTTTAATATATCTTGACTAATAGAAACGTGAAGAGACAAGGAAATAAATACACAGGGTCAAGTGTCCAGCTGTTTTAAAAGCATTTACGCATACTTTCTCTTCACCTGAATATTTTCATCTATTAAGGTTTTAAGCTCGAGATACTAAAGCAGTTTCTAACCCTTTGGATAATATTTAGACAGTAGTTCCATTGCCTCCACCCACAGGTATTTTTTGATAACCTTTGCTTCATGGATTTTTGTTTTGTGTTTCGGGATAACTTTTCTCTGTATATTCCTGATTGTCCTTGAAACTCTGCCGATCAAACTGGCCTCGAACTCGAGATCCTTCTGCATCTGCCTCCCGAGTGCTGGGATTAAAGGCGAGCACTACTACCTATCCACGCTACTGGAAAAGCATTCTACCATTGAGCTACATGCCAGTTATTAATGGTTTATATCGCCCAGGTGAAGGAATGGCTGAGTGGTGGGACTAATCTGTAAAACTCAACCGCCCTTGAACAACTGACAAACCCAGCCTCAACTAAGTACAAGTACTCCAGACTCCGGAATTTAAGAGTGTACTGGGAAACGCGTCGAAGGGACTACAAATCCAGACATGCACCATAATCATCCACCTGTGGCGCTTGACTCTACGGAGACTACAAACCCCACGGCGCCCTTCATCGGAAACACGGGCCAATTTTCTAAACCCGGCGGGACTCGGGCCCTGTTTGGAGTGCTAGTCCTGGGGCAAAGGATGCTGGGGATTGTAGTTCTTCGGCGGCGAGGCCGGGCCGCTCCCTGGACGCCCAGTACCGGCGACTAGACTGCGCATGCGTGTCAGTGGCGTTTGCAGCGGACCGGGCTGGCAGTTCCTTCCTCGGAAGGAAAGATTCCTCTGCCATGGAGTCCTACGATGTGATCGCCAACCAGCCTGTTGTGATCGACAACGTGAGTAGCGTCTTTCCTATCTCTGAAGAGACTGTGCTGTTCTCCAGAAAGGATCGTTTCCGAGGTTTCAGCCTAGGCCGCCTGCTCTTTGTCACTGGCCCGGCCTGTCAGGCGGGTTCAGCTGCCGCCGCCCCCGTCCTCCCCACATCCATAGTTTGCAGGCAGGGCGGCCAGCAGCACTCGTGAGATGGAGAATTTGTGGGTAGACAAAGGGGAGAGCTGTAGTCCGAGAAGGGTCCTTGGACCCTCGGCTCAAGGGGCCTTAACCGTTCTCTGAGACCCTAGCACCCGCCTCCCCCTGGTTTCCATCTCTCCATTGGCTGCCCTTGCTGTCTATCTTAGCCTGTCGGTCCCGCCCCTGGGCCTTGCCGGATTAGAACAGCACTCTGCGGTTATTGGCTGGCGAGCCTGTCGCTCTTCTGGCCGCCATTGCGTTTCCTTTCTGTAAGGGGTGGGGCGGTACACTGGCGCGGTGGGGATTGGCTTGGCGCACTCAGGGAGCGGAAGGCGATGGCTGGTCCCGCGGGGAAGGGCAGTTTCCTTGGGTGTGAGCCGGCCGGGCGGCACAGTAAACTGTCCCTGGGTGGGGCCGGATGATCTGGTGCCAGAAATGGCTGTGGGATTTCAGTTATTTTGTGATTATAAATTATGGCTAGGGAAGGTAAACAGAAAGGGAGAGTGATAGCAGGCGAGGTGCTTTCCTCTTTGCAGTGCTCGGCTGAGAGGCTGCACTGCACACGTAGTGTTTGTCAGGTGCACTAGCGGTTCCAGGGCACTTTCGCCGACATGTCAGTTGAAGCCTCACAGAAAGTGAATGGTTAAGAAGGAAGTTTGCATATCCTTTCACAGAACGAACCCCGAAGATGGAAGTGACCAAGGTCATATTCCGCAGCGGTGCCCTAACAGTCCATTGCCTTGTCTAAATGACATTCCTTTGCTAACCACCCCTCCCCGAAGGAATCGATAATGATAAATAGAAAGAACCTAAATATTGCTTTTATGAGGCGGGGCAGTTGTCTTCGGTTTCTGCTTTTCACCAAAAGGTTTGGTCCTGTGCTCTTTCAGCATCCCTCCTTTGAGGAACCTCTCTAACCTCTGTCCTAGGCTGACCTTCAGAGTAACTGTGATGCTCCAGCCCTTCAGACCTTGGTGTGCTACTAGGTTCTTTTATTTGCATAGTAGGTAGATGGAAACTGCTTCCCCTAGTTTATGCAGGAACATGAGACTTGAGAAGGTTTTCCAGACCACCCTCTTTAGGAGTTGAAGATCCAAGACTAACAATGAAATCATCTGGTTCCAAGTTCTTCAGACTTTCAAGAAAGGCTGTTTTATTTGTTGTAAACTGCCTTTTTAAAAAGGTGAGGCTGAGCCCGGGAGTGGTGCCGCACACCTTTGATCCCAGCACTGGGGAGGCAGAGGCAGGGGATCTCTGTGAGTTCAAGGCCAGCTTGGTCTACAGAGCTAGTTTCAGGACTGTTATATAGAGAAACCTTGCTTTGGAAAACCAGAAAACAAACAAACAAACAAAAAAAGTGAAGCTGAGATTGGGGTGGAAAGGTATGTGGCCCAGCTGGTAGCATTGTCTAACATTTGTGAAGTCCTGGGGTCCATCCCCAGCCAGCATAGACTTGGTATATAAATTGGATGTGATGGTCCATGCCTGTAATCCCAGCACTAGAGAGGTGGAGACAGGAAAATCAGAAATTCAAGGTCATTGTTTGAAGCCAGCCTCCAAGACCCTGTTTGCTTGCTTGCTTGTTTGTTTGTTGCGGATAGGAGGTTAAGCAAAGTTGATTAAATGAGACACCTTGTTTTGAAGTGTTTGTTTTTGTCTTCTTCATTTAGACTCGATAGACTTTTTAAGTCTTGTGGGGAGAGTGAGAGCCTTCGTTTTTCATTAGTTCCTTTTCCTACACCCCGCCCCATCTATCAATCTGGTGGTGGTGGTGGTGTGTGTGTGTGTGTGTGTGTGTGTGTGTGTGTGTGTGTCCGTGTGTCCATCCAGGTCCTTGTGCATGCCCACACTCGTGAGAGAGCTGGTGCCTTTGGAGGCCAGAAGAGGGCTTAAATTCCCTCGAGGCAGTGCTACCAGTAGTTATGAGCTATCCAACATGGATGGGGTGCGGGGAGGGATCCAAACTCTGGCTCTCTCCCAGGGCCGGCCGGAGCTGGTACTCTTAACTACTGGGTCATCTCTCCAGCTCACCGCTACTCTCCTCCTACCCGACTCTACAAGGCATTGAGGGCCCAGTACCACTATGTACACAATAAAGCCTTTTCATTGGCCAGGTGGATGAACAGGTGAATAACTAATGATCTCTATCATGATAACAAAAAGTGGCCAGGGGAAGCGGGGGACCCAATCAAGGTAGGGGGTTTCGGATATGTAATGCTGCAAATGATAGAGTGACATGCCTTTCTTTTGTTTGAGACAGGATCTCCAGTAACTTCTTGTTCTCAGTGTTGATATCCAGAGAACATTACTACTTATGTCTTTAGCTAGTTTCTGTGTGTTAGAGCTACCTCTTTCTTAGTTGGTAAGAAAAGAAATGGGTAGACGTGATCAATCTCAGGCTGGAGAAATGGCTCAGCAGTTAGGAGCACTTGGTCCTCTTGTAGAGGACCACAGTTGCATCCCTAGCACCCTTGGAGGCAGCTGACAACCTATAACTGGAACGAACCAGAGGGTCAGACACCCTCTCTGGTCTCCGAGGGCACTTGCACTCATATACATAGACCCACATACAAGACATCTACATATACACATAATTGAAAGGAATTATCAGTTTTTGTTTTGACATTAACAGCGCAAGAACCGTCTGTTCATCCCACCAGCCCCTTTGCCTTGGATCTCTGGAGCTGAAGTTACAGTGGTTACAAACCACTCAGTATGGAGTCTGGGAACCAGACTCCAGTCCCCTGGGAGAAAAGCAAGTGCTCTTAACTGATGAGCTATCTCTTCAGATCCCTTATTCCTTTTTGAGATCTGAAATACATCTGAAATTTTGTGTACTGCCTGCATGCAGTGCCCGCAGAAACCAGAAGAGGGCACCGATGCCCTGAAACTGGAATTACAGACAGTTGTGAGCTGCTGAGTGGGTGCTTGGGAGCCCTGTGTCCTGTAGAAAAGCAACAAGTGCTCTTAGCTGATGAGCCATCCCTCAGCCTTTGTTCCTTTTCTTACAAAGATCCTCACTGTGTAGCTCTGGCTAACCTGAAGATTCATTATATAGACAAAGCCAGCTTCAAACGTAGGGGCCTCCTGCCTACCTGCCTCTGGAGAGCTGAGGTTACAGGTGTGTACCACCATACCCAGATGGTTTTCTGATTTTCCCGGAAAATCAGAAGGATAATTTCACATGCAGTCTTCCATTTATAACCATTGCCAGTAATCTAAAAGTTTGCTGTGAGTTATAAAAGCAGGTAAGTTGGTAGCCGCAAGTACTGGGGGAATTGTTCCATCTGACGCAGAAGGACTGTTACTGGGCATAGGGCCTCTTTTGGGAGTGATAAAAAAAAATTCTCCAATTAGTTACAAGATTATGGCTAGCCTTGGCTATATGGTTAAACCCTGGTTATACACAATTCTGACCATACTAAGATACATAGAATTGTACTATACCTTAAATTAGTAAATTATGTATGTGAAATATAAATTTTATCTCAGTAAGTTTTTTTGTCTTTCTTTAAAGCTTCAAAGTACTTTCTGAACCAAACAAAAGTCTTGATCAAAATGGACCAATTAACAACCCCTGTCCTAAAACTAGTGCTTGCTCTCAGCATCCTGCACTTGCTTGTGACATGGGGACCATGGTCCTCTTTCCCAGCTCTCAGCATCCTGCACTTGCTTGTGACATGGGGACCATGGTCCTCTTTCCCAGCTCTCAGCATCCTGCTCTTGCTTGTGAGATGGGGACCATGGTCCTATTCCCCAGAACATCAAGGCACCTGAAGTGCTTAAGATGAAATCTCCTCAAGCCACAAGCCTGCAGCCAGCTAGCTGGTGTTGTGAGAGCATGCTGAGGGTGTTAGTTGCTCATTGCCTGCATCAGGTCATTAGTGGCTAGGAGCTGACTTTAGTCCTCATGGATCAAGCATTTCCTCAGACTGCCTTTTCAAGAACCCTGCCTCTTCAGGGTGTGTGTTCATTTCCTTTGTTGAAGTGAGTAGCGGGGTGGCAGCTCATTGCCAGGCACACAGCTCCTATGGCAATGCTGTTAAGAGATAGATGTGTCCCTTTCGCTCTGAGGAACAGTTTGTAGAATAGAGCACCTCATCTCACCTCCTGCCCTGTGCTTGTTGGTCCAACCCTTGTCCTGGCAGGCCTACTGGGGCCACAGGGACAAGCTGGGTCTGGTTCTTCCCATGCGTCACTCCGGTTGCTACTTTTGCCTTCCCTACACCACCTCTGCCTGGGGCTGCTTGCTGGCATTCTAGATGCTAGTTCGGGTTCATAATTTAGGGTTCACCTATCAATTCTTTTTTTTAAGTTTTCTCTTTGGTTTTGTTTGTTTTTGAGACAGGATCTCACTCTATAGCCCAGACTGGTGTCAAATTCAGGGATCTGCTTGCCTCTGACTCCCGAGTGCTGGGATCAAAGGTGTGTGCCACTACTATGCCTGGCAACTATTTGCCAGTCTTTTGCTCATGATTTCTAACTTTCATCAGCTAGTCTCTTTTTTAGTGTCCACCAAATGGAAGATACTGCTATGGGACTTCTCTGATCTTGAGGAACTTGGAATGAATTATGTATATGTGTGTTTTGTAGACAAGTCTTTATACTACAACCATTCGGTGGCCAAGAAGGCCTGAAGAGGGCATCAGATCCCCTTGAAACTGGAGTTGTGAGCCTGCTGTGAGCCACAGTGCGGGTGCTGGGAACCCAGATCTGGTCCTCTGAAGAGCAGGTGGTGCCCTTAACCCCTGAGCCGTCTTTCTCCACCTCACTTGGTTTTTTGAGACAAAGTCTTGCTATGTATCTCCTTAAGCTCTGGCTCTCCTTGCCTCCACCTTCAGCTGGGAGTGTTTACAGGCATGGCTGAATCGGACATCTTAATCTGCCTTGTTACCCAGACTCTTGTCCTTGTACTAGTGAACTCAAAGCAAACGACTTGGAAAATCAACTCTTAAAAATATCCAATATGGAGCTGAAGAGATGCTCAGCGGCTAAGAGCACTGGCCGCTCTTCTAGAAGACCCAGTTTCAATTCCTAGCACTCCATGGCAGCTCACAACTATCTGTAACTGAAGTTCCAGGGAATTTGATACCTTTATACCAGTACACATAAGATAAAGCTAAATAAATTATTTTCTTGAAAATATTCACTTCTAAGGGGCACTAGTGGCACACACCTTCAATCCCAGTACTCAGGAGGCAGATACACCTTATAGCACAGCCCTTGGAAGTCAGAGACAGGAAGATCTCTAAGTTCAAGGGTAGCCTGGCCTACAGAGTGAGTTCCAGAACAGCTAAGGCTACACAGTGAAACCCTGACCCCCCCCCCAAAAGAAAAAGGAAAGAAAAGAAAAGAAAAAAAAAAAACAAATAAATAAAACATTCAAATGTAAGGGGCAGTGGTGGTCCACAGGCACTGTAATCTCAGCACTCAGGAGACAGAGACAGGTGGATCTCTGTGAGTTCCAGGTCATCCTGGTCTATAGAGCTAGTTTCAAGACAACCAAGGCTCTACAAAGAAATTCTGTCTCAAAACAAACAAAAACCTAAAAAAGACAGGAGGGGCGGGGGCCGGGATCCAGATCTGAAGTGTGTATGGAGGCACAGGCCCAGAATTCAGGAGGTGGAGGCACAGGGGGATCAGAAGAAATTCTGTGTCGCCCTCGGCTACAGAGCAGTTTGAGGCCAGCCTGGGACGTGTGAGGCCCTGTCTCAGGGCTCACCTTCACTTCTCTTGTCTGGGTCCCTGCCAGGAGACCCAGCAGTCTGTAGGTGGTACACACCCGCTGAAGACAGTGAACAATTATTAGAAGCTTGAACTAACAAGTTCCTGAAGGTCTTTTGCACGGTGCTGTTCCTGTCCATCTATGCCAGTGCCCAAGCCCTGGGGTTTGAGAACTCCCCTCCCTCCTAGGCTTTGGGCTCAGTTCACAGAAGCAGCTTCCCGGCTCCTTGCAACACTGCCCAGGCCAGTGAGGTTGCACATCATCTCCTGTTTGCTCCCTTCTGCCACTAGAGGTCCCTGCTCTCCCCTGTGCACTGCTTCCCGTCCTCCCACTGCTTACCACACATTCGCCACCCTCAGACACCAAGGTGACTGTGTCATCGCCTCCATCTTACCTCCACACCTCTCTGTAGAGGAGGGGGAACCAGAGAGCCAAGGGTGTGCCAGAAGGCCTTTGGTGCAAAGGTAACTTTGGCTCGCTTGCATCTCTCCTGTATTAACTTTATGCAGTGTAGCGGTATGCTCTACCCCAGGAGTAGTGGTTGACTGAAGACCAGGTGAGGCACAAGGACGTGGGAATCAGATGTGGTAGTAGTCAGGGTTAGAAGGAGGAGGATGGGGTGCTGCAGGGAAGGCGTCGAGACTGATGGTATTTGCAAATGCGCCCCATTAGGTCTTACAGTGTTCCCTGCACACGGTTGGCCGCAGTGCCTGGGGTCAGGGTTCACGTTGGTCGGGCCCTGGAGGGTGTGATGCTTGTTCTTGTATGGTGATGGGCAGTGGAGGCGCACACCTTTAATCCCAGCGCTGGGGAGGCAGAGGCAGGCAGATCTCTGTGAGTTCCAGGACAGCCTGGTCTACAGAGCAAGTTCCAGGACAGCCAGGGCTATGTAGAGAAACCCTGTCTGAGTGGGGGGGGGGGAGGGAAGGGAATAGAGAGAACAAAAAGAAAAAGGGTTCTTTGCTGACACTACACCACACTAGGTGCCAGGTACTGGAGCAGGAATTTGATTCCTGTCTTCTCTCCTCCAACAAGTCATTGAGGCCTCCCGCTCTTCACCGTCAGGAGGAAAACACTGGCTTATAAAACATAGCAAACTACAAAGTCTGGTGCTTCTGTCCCTTCCATGAGAGCCAGAGAACGTGCATTGAGTCTGGATAATGCACAGTATGCCTGTGGAGGCAGAGAGCAAGTTTGTGGGGTCGTTCCTTGACCAGACTTGTATGATGCATGCTTTTATCTGATAAGCCGTCTCCTCGGCCCCATTCATATCATTTGTTATACTCAAAGTGTACTACAGGAGAAAACTATAGAAAACTCCAGCAGTTCATTGAGTGTGCAGTGCTAGCCCTGGTTACCATCTCTAGTGCCTTCTCTTCCTGGGTGTGCATTCACCTTTTCCTATGCTCTGTCAACATGACTGTTACACGCACAAATGCGGGCTCTTTCTCTTAATGGAAACAGAACCATACCGCGACTGCTGGATTTATTGGTGGTTATCACTTTTCTTTGTCCTCTCTCCACAGGGATCCGGTGTGATTAAAGCTGGTTTTGCTGGTGATCAGATCCCCAAATACTGCTTTCCAAACTAGTAAGTCATTCTGAGATTTGGTTATGACTGTGGGGATCTTGTCTACTTTGTGGCCAGCCCTGCCTCACTGAGGAGGAAGAACTCTCTCAACTTTGGTACCCAAGACAGTAAACAAAGGATGTGAATGGGGTTCGGGATAAGCAAAGGGATTTGTTACTACCTGGCATGTTTTGAGAGGTACAGCAAAAGGCCTCTATTTCGTGTGTGTGTGTGTGTGTGTGTGTGTGTGTGTTTGTGATAAATTTTGTCCTTGGTGCCTTAGAGAGCCCTCTAGTTTTTATTTTCATTTATTTATTTTTTATTTTGCTTTCGAGACAGGGTTTCTCTGTGAAGCCCCGGCTGTCCTAGAACTCGCTCTGTAGACTAGGCTGGCCTCGAACTCACAGAAATCTGATTGCCTCTGCCTCCCAAGTGTTGGGATTAAAAGTGTGTGCCACCACTGCCCAGCCATTTAGAAATTCTTTTTACTGGGAAAATGCAGAACTAGAGATATTATTTGTAAAACAATGTAATAAAAGTAGATAATATGAAAATCACTTCAAATAGTACATGTTTTTTATATAAAACACAGAAAAGGACAAGAAAGGAAGTGGAAATTAACACAGACATGGGCACAGTAGGGTGGGAGTCATGCATCTGGACTGTGCCCTTCATTGTCTGTCCGTCTCTTCTAGTGTGGGCAGACCCAAACATGTTCGTGTCATGGCAGGAGCCCTCGAAGGTGACATCTTCATTGGCCCCAAAGCTGAGGTAATCTCCAGTCCCGCAGAAGGAGCCCTGGCCTTGCAGAGGACCTGCCTTAGCCACCATACTGGAAGTGTTTGTTTTGGACACAGCAATGAGCAAAGGGCTCACTTTTCTCCCAAGAGCAGACTCCAGCCTTGGATAAATGTATCTGGAACCCCACTTTGTGAATCAGAGGCCAGTCTAGAAAATGGGACTTCCCTATCTTTCTGTACCCTGTCACTGCCTTAGTAGTGATTACTTTGATTGGCAAGAGGGATTCAGAGGGGAGATCCCGTGTCGCCTGCCCTCAGTATGAGTTCATTACCCCAGCTTTGGCAGAGCCCCCAGACAGGCTCTAGGAAGCATAACTGCAGCGTCGTCGTCCCCCACCGCCACGGTCACACTGCCACGCCAGTCCCAATTAACATACTGAGAGACCCTGTATTAGATATAACGCTGTTGGCCAGTTACTTGTTTCTTATTGGCTAGCTCTGTCTTAAGTATTAACCCATTTCTATTAATCTAAGTATTTCCACGTGGTCTCATCTTACCAGAGAGCGGGCTGGTGTTCTGCTCTCTCCAGTCTCTCCATCTTGACTCCTCCTTACTACTTCCTATTTCCTCCTTGTCTCCTAGTCCCTCCTATCTTCCTTTCCTATTGGCCAACAGTGCTTTATTCATTATTCATTAACCAGTTACTCATTAACCAGTATGAGAAACATATTTACAGAATGACATCTCCCATCATCTCCTCTTTTCTGTCTAAAATAAAAAGAAGGGTTTTAACCTTAATATGGCAAAATATATCACACAATAGTTATCAAATAAGAATCACAGTTAACAATATTTAGTCCTTTAACATTTAGCAAGATTTAAATATTTTATCATCTATCCTATCTTAGTGAGTCTAAAGTCTTATATGTAACTTATCTTTAATCCAAACTAAGGAAAACTATAACCATAACTATCTGTCTTCAACTCTTTTAAAGACCACAGAAGGGTAGTATATAAACTCTATATGGTCAGTCATATGAAGTTCTTTTGTAATCTTCCATCTTCAGCCCATAGGCCATAGTGTGTCTGGCAGACTCTTCAGCAAAGCAGGAAACTTTAAACTGTCTTCTTGTATTGGCAGTTTGTCAGTCACTTTCCTCTGTGTCCTGCAGACTGTCTGGCAGACTCTTCCATGAAGCAGGAACCTTGTAGCAATGTCCATCTTGAATCAGCAGTCATTTTCCTGTGGGTCCTGCATGTCCAGTGTATACATCATGAAGTCAAACAGTCCAGACAAGAGCAGTATCTTGCCCAAATGGCTAGTCTTGCCATATTGAAAGCACATTTTTTCGATGTCCATCTTTCTTTTTGACACAGGTGGTGTTGCCAGAAGCATTTATGTCTCACTGTCAAGAAAAACCCTAAACCATTTTAAATGCCATATTCTGTAGGTCTATTTCAAATACATCTCTGTGTATCTTGAAAAACCTAACTCTAAGCTTTGACTATCATAGGTAATTATCTATAATCTGTACTACATTATACATTACATTTCTAAATGAGCTATAAACAAAAGGAAAAATATACATATCACAAAATTGACCTTAAATTGTATCAATAAATGAAAATCCATTCCAAAACAAAGTATTCATATCTATACCATAATCCCCTTTTTACCTTTAAAAAGATTGGTTGTGGTCACTAACCATTTATAACCGAGTCCATTTAAATGAAAGCAAACATTTATAAACAATATTTGGGAATTTGGGCGTCGTTCTTTCCAAACTGCTTCCTGCTGATAGGGGGCGCTGTCATGGGGATCCTAAGAAGATGCAGAAATCCTGGCTGTAGTCTGCAAGGCTGCCTTGTTTAAGCTGTTTTGAATGTTGGATCACCAGGAATGCTGTTTAAGGGGGTCTGACTTGATCAAACCATGTTAGTCTGGAAGGAATCCACAGCTTTTCATTTTCTGTGGAAACAAAAATAGAAATCCTTTTCCCCAGTAACTTGTCCTTCAACTTAAATTTTGGAGTCAAAGCATTTTTAAAATATATAAATTGAATTAATCCAGTAGCATTTCTTTTATCAGTTGTTGTTATTTCCTCAGCAGTCAAACAATTTAAAGACAACAGAATAGCATATAGTATCCACAGTTTTTCTGTGCTTTCCATCTTTACATGGCTTTTTTTATTACTCTTTTTTTTTTTTTTTTTTTTTTTTTTACTTTTTGTTTTTTTATTTTTTGAGACAGGGTTTCTCTGTGTAACTTTTATCTGTCCTGTGATTCACTCTCCATACCAGGTTTACTTTGCAATCACAGAGATCTGCTTGCTTCTGTCTCCCAAGTGCTGGGATTAAAGGTGTGTGCCACCACACCCAGCTCCTCGCTGTCTTTTAAAAACGATTTTATTCTTTTTCTCTCCTAAGCCAACGTATATTTTAAAACATACTGTAAACCTTTAGTCATCTGCTTTACAGCTGCTCAGAGAGTACAGGCAGCTTGCAGCATAAATCTCCAACTCAGAATGAGTGCCTCCCCTCAGCATGGATGAGGACTGCAGGCTGGGACCCTGGGCAGCGGAGGCTCCTTCCGAAGTGATTCTGCCCATACAGCTCAGGCCTGGGAGGGCAGGGAGCCAGTAGAACCCGACTGCCCCTACAGATTGTGCCTTCTGCTTGCAGGAGCACCGAGGGCTGCTGTCAATCCGCTACCCCATGGAACATGGAATCGTCAAGGACTGGAATGACATGGAGCGCATCTGGCAGTATGTCTACTCTAAGGACCAGCTGCAGACTTTCTCAGAGGAGGTGAGGGCCCGTGTACAGGACACTCCGGGGCAGGACGCCAGGCTGGGTTAAACTACACTCCAGAGATGATGGGGCTGAGACAGACAATGAAAACTACCGAAAGTGTTCGAGGCTAAATATGTGCCGGCACTGGGCCGTATATCTTCAGGGTATACCCTAATTTTATATTCATATTATTCCATTACTATGTTAGAACTGCCAGGTGCGGTGGCACACGCTTTTAATCTCAGCACTTGGGAGGCAGAGGCAAGTGGATCTCTGTGAGTTCAAGGCCAGCCTGCTCTACAGAGCAAGTGCCAGGACAGGCTCTGAAGATACAGAGAAACCTTGTCTCTAAAAAACAAAAACAAAAATAGGGGCTGGAGAGATGACTCGGTGGTTAAGCACTGGCTGATCTTCCAGAGGTCCTGAGTTCAATTCCCAGCACCCACATGGTGACTCACAGCCATCTCTAGTGGAATCTGATGCCCTCTTCTAATACTCAGGCATATATGCAGATAGAGCACTCATGAACATAAAATAAGAATTCTAAACACAAAACAAAAGTACTGTGCTTGCAGTGGACCCAGGTTCAATTCCCAGCACCCACATGGCAGCTCACAACTGTCTGCAACTCCAGCTTCAGGCAGATCTGATGCCTTCTTCTGGCATCTGAGAGTACCTGTGTGCATCTGTGCATAAACACATACACATAAATAAACGTAGAAAATAAAAACAAGAGGTCTAGCTAGAATTGCCTCTGTCTTATAAACAAGAAAATAGAAAATGGAGCAGTAGTCAGGGCATGGTAGTACATAGCTGTAATACCGGCCTTGGGAGGAGGGTAGAGATTCAAGGCTGTCCTCGGCTACACAGCCTCATTGAGGCCAACCTGGGCTACGTGTCTCAAAACAATAAAAAATAATTATGGCAGCAAGGTGGCTCACTAAAAGGTTCTACAAGGTGACACTGACCTTCACATATGTGCATGTGTGCATTCAAAAAATAAATGTAGGAAAATAAAAATTAAAAGGAAAGAAAATCAGAAAATCCAAGAAGTATTTTCAAAATCTTTTAACAACTAAAGGAGTTGAGCCTGGAATCAGACCCACATCTTTCAGAGCCCACGCTCATTAGTTTCCGAGGGCGTGAATCTCAGAGATGGAAGGAGAATGCGTCAGTGTTCAGGAACAGGAAATGTCCAGGCTTTAAAAATGTTCAGTGTGTGCTAGAGAGAGCTCAGCAGTTAAGAGTGAGGTCTGCTCTTCCAGAAGACCTGAGCTATTTCCAGCACCCATGAGGGATGGTCTATAACCTGCTCTAACCCCAGCTCCAAGGTGCCTGCACTTACATGCACAGATACACACACAAAATAATTAAAATAAGTAAAACATAAATAGTTCAGGCATGGTTGCATACTTTTTAAAAAATTATGTGTAAGAATGCTCTATCTGCATGTGCAGCTTTGTGCCAGAAGAGGTCATCAGATCCCACAATAGATGGTTGTGGTATGTGGTCGCTGGGAATTGAACTCAGAACTTCTGGAACAGCCAGTGCTCTTAACCACTGAGCCATCTATCTAAGTGCCCTTGGGAGGCACATTCCTTTAATCCCAGCACTTGGGAAACAGAAGCAGGTGGATCACTTAAATCTGAGGCTAGCCTGGTTTATGGTAAGGTCTAAGGCATCCAGGGAGATAGATAGATAGATAGATAGATAGATAGATAGATAGATAGATAGATTTTTTAAAAAATAATAATAATAATAAAAATGAGAGGCTGGAGAGGTGGCTCAGCAGTTAAGAGCACTGGCTGCTCTTGCAGAAGATCCAGGTTCAATTCCCAGCACTCATGGCAGCCCACACCTGTATGTAACTCCAGTTCCCTCCCACAGACACACATGCAAGCAAACCACCAATGCACATAAAAGTAATAAAAGGACTAGAAGTGCAGCCCTGTGGAAGTGTGCTTGTTTACCACAGGAAACAGTTTCCAGCACCACAAAAACAAAACCTCACCAAGGAAATCAATGTTAAGTTTTAATTTCCCATTTGAAATATATTTACAATATCATAATTCAGAGTTTTAACAAAATCTCCCTGACTAGTAGGCAATGCACAGCAGATTCAGGGACCTAGAGATGGGTTTTGGAAGACAAGGAGGGGGACTCGAGGGTAAGGACAGATGGGACTTGAGGGTAAGTGTGGAGAGGAGAGAGACAGACTTGGCCATGGCATGTGGCAATCTCTGTTTGCCTGTTCTCCGAGGGAGCCTGACAGGGCCCTGGATTCTCATGGTGGAGTTACGAGGATGCACAGCTGGCTCACACTGCCTGTCTCCTGGCCTCTTTCCCAGCATCCTGTGCTCCTGACTGAGGCTCCTTTAAATCCTCGGAAAAACCGGGAGCGAGCTGCAGAGGTTTTCTTCGAGACCTTCAACGTGCCAGCTCTCTTCATCTCCATGCAAGCTGTGCTCAGCCTGTGAGTAGCAGGTGCCCTGTAACCTACAGGGCCTTACCCAGTAACCTTCAGTGCTCACCACATTGAGGAAGAGTTAAGAGAGTGAGAAAAAACTTTTAGTGAAACTAGACATCGAAGCTCCTCAGAGGAAACCAAAAGCAAAGGTGTGTCTGGGGCTGAGACCACCCCAGTGTAGTGCTCAGGTTTGGTGTCCAGGTCTATGACCGTATGTTGACACCACCCTTCCTGAAGGCTCAGAGTGTCCCAGCTCTGTGTTGACTGTGCTAGGCTGCTGGTGTATCTGTGTCATGAGTCTTGTTCTGTCCGGCCAGTCAGCTCCCAAAAAAACATGGAGACTCCTTGTTAATTAGGAAAGCTCGGTCTATAGCGTAGGCTTGTTCCTCACCAGCTCTCATAAATTAAAATAAATTAAATTAACCCATTTATATTCATCTACGTTCTATCACATAGCGTTACCTCTCTTCCATCTTGCACCTCCATTTTCCTCTCTGCGTCTCCTCTGTGCCTAGATTTTCCTCCTCTTCCTTTTTCATCCTGGAAGTCCCACCTATTCCTCCTGTCTAGCAATTGGCCATTCAGCTTTTTATTACACCAATCGCAGCAAGTCTATCTTCACGGTTTTATTACACCAATCGCAGCAAGTCTATCTTCACGGTTTTATTACACCAATCACAGCAAGTCTATCTTCACGGTGTACAAGTATCCCGCAGCATATCTGTGATCCAGGCAGCTCCACCCGGCCATATTCGTTATCCTGCCATGTCCCGTCCCATTGTCCCGTCCCGTCGTCCCGTTCTCCCCCCCCCCGCCCCCCCCTCTACATCTATCTGCTGCTGAGGTGGTACCCTATGAATCTCTGTCATTTGGAGATAGGAAACTATAGGCAGACCCCATGCAGAGGCTGCATGGTGAAGACCGGGCTCTCCAGGAAAGTGAGAAGCAGTCGTGTTTTCCTGTGTTCGCTTCTCTTCCCTCCTTCCCTTGGGAGCTGAGGCTGCCCTTTAGGTCGGGTCTCCAGGGTAGTTAAAGGCCGGCTGTTCTCTCACACAGGAAGGCCTATTCTTCAGGGCACTGGAGAAGCTTTGCTCCTCCTCCAAGGGTTCCCTAGTGCTCCACCCACCGAAGGGCCCAGGAGAAACAGACCCAAGGGTTAGCGCCACTGCCCCTGAGCTTTGACGAGTGGGTTTCGTTCCGGAGCGTAGCACGCAGTGGTTGTGCCCTTTGCCTCAGTTATGCCACAGGCAGGACCACAGGTGTGGTGTTGGATTCTGGGGACGGCGTCACCCATGCAGTCCCGATCTACGAAGGCTTCGCCATGCCGCACTCTATCATGCGCATCGACATCGCCGGCAGAGATGTCTCTCGCTTCCTTCGCCTCTACCTCCGTAAGGAGGGCTATGATTTCCACTCCTCCTCCGAGTTTGAGATTGTCAAGGCCATAAAGGAAGTGAGTGCTGTCCTGTGGGCTAGGGGCGGGATGGGGAGTAGTGACCTAAGAAGGAAGAGGGTTGGTGCTCCACGGGTCCTGGGCCAGGCTGTCTTCACTCCTGGCACTGTGTGTGGCTGGGCCTCTGCGCAAGTGCACAGACTACAGGTTGTGCGGGCTCACGACCTTGGAGAAGTTGAAAGGGCTCTTTTCCTAAGCGGATCGAACCCTCCTGACGTGTGGTTCTGGGGAAACCTCTGAGCTGGGAACCAGAACCTATCAGAGGGAGGAGGAGGCTATCTGGGCCTGCCTAACTGTGGGTAGCCTCAGGCCCAGTGGAACCAGGACTCAGGGCAGTGTGACAGATCTCTGCAACAGCATGCCACTTCTGTGGGACTTGCCTGAGAGTCACTAGGTTTCCTGCCATCCTGACTGCCATACTTGACTCTGCAGAGAGCCTGCTACCTGTCCATAAACCCCCAGAAGGATGAGACACTAGAGACGGAGAAGGCCCAGTACTACCTGCCTGATGGCAGCACCATTGAGGTAGTGTGCACATCTTCCTTTTCCTCTCGCACCCACCAGTAAGCTTGGACTCAAGTGGAATGCCCTGAGAGGCCCTGAGCAGGAGGGCTCCCGAGCGAACGGGCGCCAGTGCCTTTCTATGGAAAAGGGAAGGGGCTCGGAGGGACCTCCCCAGGTCAGGGTGCACAGGGAAGTGGGTGTTCGCGCTGTCTTTGACCATCCCTGGGTCCAAATTGGTGAAGTCACTGCTCCCTAGAAGTTCTGCTGATGAAATGTTTCCAAGAGTGTTAATGCTCTAGATCTATCTCTCGCAGAGATGCCAGAGCTGGTGGAATGCTCTAGATCTATCAGCTAGCAATGCCAGAGCTGGTGGAATGCTCTAGATCTCTCTCTCTCGCAGAGATGCCAGAGCTGGTGGGACCTGCTTTCCCTCCCTGGTTTCCCAGAAGCTGTTTCTTTGCAGGAGCCCAGTCTTTGCCCCTTGTCATAAGGGTTGTTGTCAGTCTGGGCTCCGCATACACAGGCAGAGAGGCCTCTTCTGCTCCCATTCCCAAGGGAGCTCAGGCCCAGCCCAGCCTCTTCAGCCGGCTCTTTACCCTCCAGATCGGCCCTTCCAGGTTCCGGGCCCCTGAGCTGCTGTTCAGGCCAGACTTGATTGGTGAGGAGAGCGAAGGCATCCATGAGGTCCTGGTGTTTGCCATCCAGAAGTCTGACATGGATCTACGGCGCACACTTTTCTCCAACATCGTCCTGTCAGGAGGTTCTACCCTGTTCAAAGGTTGGTCTTTGTTCACAGGCCTCTTGTTAGAGAAGATCCCGTCATGCCGGGATTGGGTACCAAGGAATTCATTCGGGTCTCTTTTTCTGCCCATTAGGTTTTGGCGACAGGCTACTGAGTGAAGTGAAGAAACTAGCTCCAAAAGACGTTAAGATCAGGGTAGGAGCATGCTGGAGGTCGGGCGGGGTAGAGCTGGGCTCCGAGGACTTGGAACACGTGGTGTGTCCCCTTCCGGATCCCTCCAAGCTCTTCAGGCAACCACAGCACTGTAGGCAGGGTCAGGGACTCCTGGCACATAGAATGGCCCCATAGTATACATTCGCCTCAAAGAGGACCCATTCTCAGCCAGGCAGTGGCGGCACACACCTTTAATCCCGGCACTTGGGACGCAGAGGCAGGCAGGCGGGTTTCGTCTGTGAGTTCGAGGCCAGCCTGGTCTGCACAGCAAGTTCCAAGACAGCCTCCAAAGCCACAGAGAAACCCTGTCTGGAGAACACCAAACAAAAAGAGGGCCCGTTCTCACTATGGAACAGCAGCTAGATGTGTACACATGTAATCCTAGCACTTTAGAGGCTGAGGCAGAAGGACTGCCAAAAAAAAGTTCAAGGCTAGCCTGGACCTACATAGAAGGACCCTGCCTAAGGACAGCCACTTAATGCCGGAATGTGGTAGGCCTTAGCCAGGGCCCCGCTGGCCCTTGGGGAACACTAAGCTGACACTTTGTTGTGTAATGCCGGTTGCCTTCTGAGTATCTGCTGAAGGGAATCACTTCATGGAGAGGAAGACCCCAAATGAAGGGGTCTAACTCCTGCCCTGGGTGTATTTCCCTGCTTAGTGTCATGCTGACCACAGCCCCCGAAGGAAGTCATAGGTCCAGCAAGGGACCTGTTGCATGGCGTGCGTACGCTGTATTTGGCAGCAAGACAGAGTAAACGGTTGGCAGGGGTGGGGTGGGGCTGGGAGTTGATTCACCTGCTATGTAAGCATGAGGACCAGAGTTCAGGTCCCCAGAATTCTCATAAAAGCCAGGTAGGCATGGCGGCCACTTGTAAGTGCAGCATCTGGGAAGTGAAGACAAGGTCCCCAAGGACAAGCCATCCCGGGAGACTAGCCAGATCTTGCAAGCTAGCTCGGGGTTGAGCAAGAGTCTTTCGCTTCAGTGATTAGAGAGTGATTGAAGAAGACACCAGATGGCCTCTGTGCGTACACACATGTGCACCCAGGCACACACACGTGCTGCCATATACCTGGGAACACACACGTGCAAAAGAGGAATAAGTAGGGCTCTGGTGTTTTAGATCCCTCTTTCCACCCCCTCTGCAGATATCTGCACCCCAGGAGAGACTGTACTCCACATGGATTGGGTGAGTAGCCCATAGAGTGAGAACAGGACGGGAAGCGGGGGCTTTGGCCATCCCTCCATCCTCCTGTCCCTTGAAAGCCGCTGGGGGCTTGGCTGGCTGCACGGTTTCGTTCACTCACGCTGCCCCTTTGGTTTCCCCCACTGCAGAGGGTCTATCCTTGCTTCCCTGGACACCTTTAAGAAGATGTGGATCTCCAAGAAGGAATACGAAGAAGATGGTGCCCGATCCATCCACAGGAAAACCTTCTAATGTGGAGACAGCACCTTCACCTCTCTCTGAAGTTAACTCCACTTGAAACCTCGCTTTCTTGAGTTGGGGTGTTGGAGAGGAACTGTCTGTGTGTGTGAGTGAGTGTGTGGGTATGCGTGCGTGCACATGGCGAGTGTGTGCGGCCCAGGGATCCCGGGCCCAGAAAGGACATTGAACTACCCGCGATGGTAATGGCCTGAGGCCTGGGGTTGACTACTAACTGGCCCCTTCCAGGGAAGAGCCCTGGCAGAGGCCCACTCCTTTCTCAGCTAGGCCTTTGTCTGGCTGTGTGGAACTATGGTTACTACCATAGAGAGACCTTGCTGCTGCCAATCTAGGCTGGGCTGGCCCCACCCCACCCCAGAGTGCCCTGAGGCTGGAGGCAGCCGCTGTCTCCCCCCTCGTCATTCTGCTGTCCATGCTCTGGATCAGACCGAGACCTGAGGCTGGGGTTAGGCTCTGTCCGGCTTTGTTTCAGTTTGGGTTTGAAGACTGAAAAAGCACCCCAGCAGTGATTGTAGGCTGGGCTCAGGGGAGAGCAGGGTACACGTGTTTACCTGGGAACCAGGTAGGAACCAGGACCACACAGGGCATGGGAGGACAGGCCATAGCTGCAGGCTTAATTCCCCAGCCCCAGCCATCCAGGGAGACCCTGTGGGCGCCAGGCCCTGTTGTTTGCTTCTCATCCTTGTTTCCATACCATCTTCAGTTTTATTTATGGGAGTGTTTGTTTGGTAAAGGGGCTGCAGAGAGGGCTCACTGCCCCTGCCCGCGGTCACCTGGCTTACACTAATGTTTACAGCACCTAGGCTTTGCATAGCATCCGGGGCATCACCCACCCGACGGTAAACTAACAGTGTTCACAGGCCTCAGGGCCCTGCAGGACTGGAGGCTGCACACAAGGCCTCCCGCCAGCCTCTTCTCCTTGCTCACTGCCCTGGAACCACCAGGCTGATTGCGGTTAGATTTTCCAAAACAGGAAATCACATCACTCTTTGGCAGAGGCCCCTTGCGAGGGAGGTATGTTGGAGATCTAGACCCTTTAAAACTAAGAAAGCTGCAGTTAACCATATTGCCTTTTACCACTCTAGCTGGCCAGGGAGACGAGGTCAAGGGCAGGGAAGCCATTCTGGGTTGGTCAAAGCCACTCCTGACTTTGTACCTGTTTGGGGATGGAGAGAAGAGGCCAGACAAAGTGCCAAGAACCGATGGGCTCAAGCCTGGCTCTCAGAAGCGGTCCAAGGGCTTTGTACCCAGACAGTACAAAGCTAGGGTGAGCCTGTCTTCATCGGCACCTTCACCAGTGATACCCAGTCCCACCTCACTTCCAGATTCCAAACAGTATTCTCTCCACCATCCCATGACCAAAGGCCCCTGCTGAAGCTGGTGTGTGTGAAATCAGTGTAGCAACCCATAGACTGCAGTGCTTAACCAGCTCACCTCTTAGCCCAAGCCTGGCCCTTGCACAGCCTCGAAAAGCCACGTTGCCTGGTGGGGCCTAGTGTACTTAAATAAAGTCGTTCCAATAGATACATCATTTCGCCTCTCTCTGTGGCCAGTGCCTGGTGGGAAGAAAGGGAAGCTACGGTCTCAATCTGACTGGCAGAGCAGACCTCAGCCTGTTGTGGAAAGAGAGCTGGCGGTCCAGCTGTGTGCACTCAAGCCCGCGGGTGAAGCCTGACTTCAAGTGATGGACATCTCGACCCCCTGAAATCAGGGCTCTCAGAACCCCAGTCTCGCGGGGAACCAAGGCAGGAGAATCACATTAAAGACGCCGTTAAAGAGTGAGCTCAGAGTGAGCCTCGTCTCAGAGCTGGGCTTCACAGCTCTGAGAGAACACTCGCCTAGTATGCATGAACCCCTGCCTTCACCCGCCCACACACAAACCACTTGGAAATGTTTAAGAGCCTGAACTGTTGATTATGACTGCAGATGAAGGCACTTAGCAACAACTCTGTCCACCTGGATCTGATGCCCAGGACCCACACAGAAGTGACTCCATGTAGCAAACAGCTATGAGTGCACACACGTGTACACGTATTCACACAAGCAAATGTAAGCACTGAGGTTAAACTGAGGTTAAAAGGTGTTCACCACCTCCTGGCCAGATGTTGTAACGAATACCGCGTTAAGATTTTTTTTTTTTTTTTTTTTTTTTTTTTTGAGACAGGGTTTCTCTGTAGCTTTGGAGTCAGAGGCTGCTTTTTGACGTCTGTGTCCAGCAATGGCATATAGGAAGTGCGTGGACGTAACTGGCTCCAGGCCTGATCACCCAGCAGGCTGCTAGACTGATTTGGTGGTGGTGGTGGTTTGGTTTGGTTTGGGTTTTGTTTTTTCAGGCTACCTTTGAACTTGAGGCCGTCCTGCCTCAGCCTTCTAAATACTGGGATCATAGGTTCAGTTTGCATTTAGTACTTCTGTTCTCATAGCTCTAGGAAAATGCGCTTGGGGTCCTCTTCCTGCCCCCAGCCCCAACAGACACACTAGGAACAGACCCAAGGAGCAGGAATGACTGGCTTTACTTGCTCTGCAGTGAGATGAGTCTCTAGAGGTTCGAGGCCTGCTGGGCCTGCAGCACAGAGAGCATGCCACTCCAAACTGAAGCAGAGGTGCCTGAGAGAAACGAGGAGGAGGGGCAAGGGGCACTTTCAGTCAGCTTCCCCGGACTTGGGCAAAAGAAGTCACAGTGTCAGAACTTCCCTAACCCAAGTGGCGAGCCACGGCTCCGTACACACCACACTCAGCCCTCCTTCCTTCTTGCTGCAGAGTCACAGTCCCTGAGCACATAAGGCCCAGCCCTTGCCCGAGCTGAGTCCCACAGCCAAAGAAGGGCAGGCCTCAGTGAGGCGCCTGGTTCTGCCCCAGAGGCTCCCCCATGCCATCTGCTCTCCGGCTGCACCCAGAGAAGGTAAAGAACAGGGTCCTGGCCCGCAAGAGAGGTCCCTGCTGGGACTAGCGCAGTGACCTCAGCAGAATGCCCTGGCCACACTTCTCACACCGTCTTAATGTCCAGTGTATGGATCTGTGCCAGGTTCTGTCGCTGGGCCTTGACCACACGGAGGCGTCTCCCGTGTAGCGTGAACTGGGACCAGGTGAAGAGCTGTAGCAGTGCACAGGTGATAGGCACCAGCACCAGCAGGTAGAAACAGCCCTGGCGGAGTGTGGGAGCCTGCGCTGGGGCTGGGGCTGGAGGCTCTGGCCATGGCTGGGCACTGCCCACAGAAGTCAGTGGGGGCTGCTGGAAAAGGTCGTGACCTGGGGAAAGAGCACACAGAAGGGACATGGTCGGCCCAGCTGCCCCTCCACAGTCCACAGAGCAGCATCTCACACAGTACATGGAAGTACAAGCATGTGGTGGCGCACGCTTTTAATCCCAGTGTTTGAGAGGGAGAGGCAGATCTTTGTGAGTTCAAGATCAGTTCAACTGCTCTACAGAGTGTCCAGGGCAACACAAAGAAACTATGCCTCAATCTTGTTTCCTACCTCAGCATTAACAAGTAGCTGGGATTATATGCCACAGCCCCTAGCCATCTATCTATCTTTAACTTTAATTTTTTGTTTGTTTGTTTGTTTTTGAAACAGGGTCTAAGTCATCGCTGTTCTGGAACTTGCTATGTAGACAGAACTGGCCTTGAATTCACAGAATTCACTTCCTGCCTCTGCAGCGCTGGGATTAAAGGCATGTGCCACCATCTATCTGCTCCTTCCTTCTGTAGTCAAGGGTGACCTTGACTTCCTGCCCTCCTGCCTCCACTTTCTGAGTCTGAGTACACCACCACAGCTAGGAGTCGAACTCCGGCTTCAGGCGCACTAGGCGAGTGCTGGCCGGCTCAGCTGCGTCCTGGGCACTTTGCTTCCTGAGAGTCCTCGCACCCTAGGTTGTTCAGAGTCAGTGTACAGCTGAAGGTGACCTTGGACTCCCATCTCCTGCTTGTGTCCTGAATGCAGCAATTACAGCTGTGTACCATCTTACCCGGCTCCTGCCATGCCTCTTTTTGTGTTTGCTTTGCTTTTGAGGCAAGGTTTCTCTCTATGCAGACCAGGTTGGCCTCAAACCGCATCTCTGAATATCTGCCCCAAACCCTTCTCATGAGTGACAGGCCCATATCTCAAGCCATCTGTCAATCGTCAGCTGTCCCTCCCCCACACCCATCCTTTTGTATGGCCTCCGTTCCATAATGCATCCAGCTGGTACCCCCCTACTCCAAGCTTCTATAGCCTCTGCCAGTCCCCTTAACGTCTCCGTGCTAATGACCACGTTTTCTGCATACACCCTCAGGGCAGCCACAGTGAACTTGGAAACAGTCCATGTCACCTGCCGGCCTGTAAGTCCCCCAACAGCTTCCTTGGGCACTGAAAATCCAATTCATATGCCATCCTGTCCACCCCTCTACCTGCCTAGAATTTATTTCTCTATGTAGCCCAGCTGCCCTGGAACTCACTCTGTAGACCAGGCTGGCCTCCAACCCAGAGATCTGCCTGCCTCTGCCTCCTGAGTGCTGAGATTAAAGGCTTAACCACCCTGCCCCTGTGTAGAATTCAAGCTCCACAACAGCTAAGATTTTTGCCTGTCTTACCATTGTTACCTCCCTTACACACCAGGTCCACTACATACAGAGGGCTATGCTGATTCGTTGAATTAGTTTAGGAAGAAATGGAGGAGTGAGCCAACCAGGGTTATTATCCCAGGGCAGCAGCGCAGGCCCAGGCACAGCCCTTCTGCCTCCCTCACAGCCCCAGAGCTGGTAGGACAAGGAGCCTCACCTGTGTAGAAGCAGAGAAGCCAGGTGCCCAGCAATGGGGCAAAGGTCTGGCCAGGTTTGGTCACCAGGGCAACCATACCGAAGAGAAGCGCCGAGGCCGCCTGTTTCCGATGGTTCAGTACCATGTCCTCATCCACCAGATCAGTGACCACCAGGGTCAGCAGCTTACAGGTGCCCTCGGTGAAGACCCGGTTGCTGCCCGTGGAGAGAGGGGCAGAGTGAAGGGCGTGGACACAGCGAGTGGGGGAGGGGCGGGGGCGGGGCCTACCTGGCAATGAAGCAGCAAAGCAGGCCAGGGCAGTCCGGGCCAGCCAATAGCATGAGGAGGCTGAGGCCCAGCTTGAGCAGGAAGAGCCCCCGCACCACGGCATAGACTCCCCAGCGCCGGCACAGGGGCAGGAAGTACAGGTTGTTGAGATGAGGGGCAACATAGGAGATGCCTGGGGAGGGAAGGGGCGGCTTCTTCAGGGCCAAAGCGGCAGGCTCAGCAGTGTTAGCAACTGACATTGTAATCAGGGTCCGGCTTGCACTAATGGTATACCAACAATGCCTTCCACTTCGCTGTCATATCTTAATTTTTGTTTTACGTGCGTGCATGTTTTGACTGCATGTATATCTGTGCAGAGGCCAGAAGCAGGCATTGGATCCCCAGGAATTGGAGTTACAGACAGTTGTGAGCCACCTTGGGGATAGATGGAAAGCAAATTCCATCCTCTGGGAGAGCAGCCAGTGCTCTTAACTGCTGAGCCATCTCTCCAGCCTGGTTTTCACACCTTAATTTTCACAAGCCCTTCCTTGTAGTCTCTTGGTGTTTATGGGAATTGACTCCAATACCCTTCATGCACAGCAAAATCTGTGGATTTTCCAGACCTTTATATAAAACGGCATTGTATCTGTGTAACAAAACTTACATACACATTCCTATATACTTTCTTTTACTCTGTTTTATTTTTAAATTTAGGGTCATGAAGCTCTAGATGGTCTTGAACTCTTGACCCTCCTGCCTTCATGTTCTGTGTGTGGGGATTTCAGCCCCTACACCATACCCAGCTTTAGTTTGCATTTTTCCTTTATTTATTTTTAAGACAGGGTCTCTCTGTGTAGCCCTGGCTGACCTGAAACTTTCTACATAGAGCAGGCTGGCCTCAAACTCACAGAGATCCACCTGTCTCTGCCACCCAAGGGCTAGAATCAAAGGCGTGCGCCATTACACCCAACCTATTTTTGTTTTAGTTTGTTGTTTTGAGATAGGGTCTCCCTATGTAGTCCCACTGCTGGCCTGGAACTCACAGAGCTCCACCTGCCTCCTCCCCCTGAAAGCCAGGGTTAAAGGTGTGCATGCACTGCCATGCTCAACCTTTCAATTTTCATTTTAATTATTTTGACACAGGGTCTCATGTAGCCCAGGCTAGCATCTTTCTTGTTGGGTAGCTTAGGCTGACCTTGAACTTCTGATCCTCCTAACTGTACCTCTGGAGTACATCAATCATGGACATCATCACCACATCAATCATAGACATTATCACCACGCCATGTTTATGTGGTGCTGGGTAATCTATGCCAGCAGAGCCTCATGCAGGTTCTACCAACAAGGCTACACCTCCCAGCCCCTCTCATACCCTTTACATTATCTCTTTATTCTTACTTTACTTGTTTGCTGTCTTTTTTCATTGTTGTTACTGTTTATTGTTTTTGAGACCTGGATGGTAACAAAGACTCATCAATCCCTAGTTTCCATAGTGCTGAGTGAGCTCACAGTTATGTGCCATCAAGCCTGGCATAAGTGATGTCAATTATTTATAACATTCAGTACCAAGTAAATGTTATGCAAATAGTTGTTACAATGTATCACTTAAGAGACGATGACAGGAAGGAAAGAAAAAGGCTGGTGGGTCCGTGAGATGGCTCAGCAGGTAATGAGCTTGCCACCAAGCCAGACAACCTGAGTTTGATCCCTGGGTCCCACATGGTGAAGGAGAGAACGGATTCCTGCAAGCTGCCCTCACCTCCCAAGTGCACCAGGCATGCATGCACCCATACTCTCACCACACAAATAGTAAATAATAAACATGTCAAAATCTGGGAGGGGGCATGCAGTGTACTATCATTATCCTCTGTTCACAAGTAAGAGTGGGGGAAAAAGAGAAGGCTAGGCCGTGCTGGCACGCACCTTCAATCCCAGCACTCTGGGAGGCAGAGGCAGCTGGATCTCTATGACTTTGAGGCCAGCCTGGTCTACTGAGTGTTTCAGGACAACCAGGGCAACATGGAGAAACTCTGTCTCAAAAAACAAAAACAAACAAAAAAACCCCCACGAAAATGATAGTAGCTCAGAAAGATACAATAACACATCCAAGACCACTCAGCAAACGGCACACTGGCCCCTGCACTGCCTCACACGGCCTGTAGGTGTCACCATCATCATGAGGACCACTAGACCTCCACTCAGGGAAAACAGGCGGGAGCAGGGTGTGCAAGCTGCTAGCCTGAGGCACCACTTACCCAACAGGAAGGAGCCTGTGGAGAGGGAGATGTGGTCTGACAACAGGTGCTCCAAGAAGAGGGGGAAGAAGTTACTGTTAAAGTGGCAGTGAAACACCTGCAGGGCAGAAGGCGGGTCCTCAGGGCCACCGGCCAGCAAGTGAGCAGCAACCCTGGGCCTCAGAGCGGGCGTGAGCAATGGCCTCCCCCATGCCACCAAACATGGGACACGCCAGAACAAACCGAAACCATGTTCCTTGTGGCCCATCTAGTGTTACTTAAAGTTTGAAGGCATGGCAAAATGTGGAGAGATGTCCACCCCGCCCGCTGCACTGACCACGCCCATTGAGGCGTGGGGACAGGTGTGGGCGTGACCTGGGGAGACTAGGTCTGGGGTCCCTGACCCCAGCTTGCTCTCTTACTTCCTGGTCGGAGACAGAAAGCATCCGGAGGCTCTCTGGGACGGGAACCTGAGGTAGTCATCTGTTTCTGGTGTAAATGATTTCTCCCCAAATAAACATCCTTCAGCCTATCGTTTCCCAGATCCTTATTTACCACGAATTAGCAAAATAGCAACCAGAACAATTTTTAAGTTTTCATAATGATATAAAAAGAATGAATGTATTCATGTATTCAAAAAATACAAATTTGACTAACTTGTATACTCTACCTGATGGGGCATTTGATGTTTTTAAAAAAGGAGCTGAAGAGATGCTTAGTGGTTAAGAACATTGGCTGTTCTTCCAGAGGACCTAGGATCAATTCCAGGACCTACATAGTGGCTTACAGCTTCCTTAACTCTAGGGGACCTGACATTTTCTTCTGCTCCTTGGGTACGAGTGCACAGACAGACATGCAGCCAAAACACCCATACACATAAAATAAAACTAAAAGAAAAAAAAAAAAAAAAGATTGTCACAGAGTCCTCATAAAGAGAATCTCAGCACTCAGGAGGCAGAGACAGGAGGACGTCTGTGAGTTCAAGACCAGTCCGGTCTACAGAGTGAGCTCCAGAACAGCCAGGGAAACACAGAGAAACCTTGTCTTGAAAAATCTAAAACAAAAAACAAAAAACAAACAAAAAAAAAAGAGTCTCTTAGTCTCTCAGCCTTCATATATGGATGAGGCACAGGACTGGCCTCAGAGGCTGAGGCTGAGACACTACCACACAGTGAGAGGCAGGAATAACAGTAACTCAATGGTAGAGTCATCACCTAACAATGTACAAGGCCCTGGGATTGGGACGGGCAACCACACGAGGGTGTGAGGAACACAGAAAGTGCTAGAACCTAGGTTGCCTAACTTCCCAACCTTCCTACCATCAGACCTCAGGGAAGCCTCCTACATTCCCAGCTCTTGAAGGAGGGGTGAGGGAATGGCTCCCCATACCTGTACCAGGTCCATGCCCACGAACCACAGGAAGTTTTGGTGGCGTGCCAGTTGCCGGAGGTACTGGCCCAAGCTGATGCTGCCTGCTTCCTCACCACCCACCAGCAGCTCTTCACATACGCTGTGGGCAGAGGGAGGAGACTGCAGGGGTTACATCAGAGTGGGTCAGGGGACAGCCTGAGCTTACATTCTGACCCCAGGGAGCCAAGGCTAGTCACTCACCTGCCATCCACGACCAGGGCTGAGCACCCCCTGTCCCGTCGGGTTGCCTCAATCCGCCGCCTCAACAATTGTGTGGCCGCCAGAAAGCCCAGCCCGGAGCCAGCAGCTAGCACCACACAGAAGGCACGGAAGGAGGAGAAGTCCTCCTTGTTCCAAAAGGCGTAGGAGGCAAAGACGGACATGGAGCCAGCTGCACTGAAGAGGGAACAGTAAAAGTTGAGGTGCGTGCGGTCGTGGGCTGAGAGAGCCAGGTCAGCCAGCAGGGCATGATGGTGGAGGTCCACAAGCGTCAAGAAGCCATCATAAAGGCACAGGCACAGTAAGAACTGCAAGCCGGCTGGGGCCCAGGGCACCCAGAATGCCAGGAAGGACAGTGCCAGCAGCGGCCCATGCCAGCTCAGAGCCCGCACCCGCGTCAGCACCACATCTCTGGAGGAGAGCCCAGCTCCTGACCTGTCAGGGAGAAGAAGCTGTTAGGAGGTAACCATTTGGCCTGAGCAGGCCTTAGTTCCCCTTGCTGGGCCCAGGAGGTGAGATGGAGGAATTCACACCAAGATACAACCCAAGTCTCCTGTCCCTGACATCAGACTTACGAAGCTCAGCTTATCAGTCTTCCACTCTCTCCTCAGCCCATTGCCTCATCATCATCTTGTCAGGGATGATGACCAAAAGGCTGTGGGACACTGATTCTTAGGGTTGGGGGTAGTAATGAGCAACAACAGGTAAGGGGTAAGGGAGTGCATTAGAAACAGCCTGGTAAATGTGTGGTACAGAGACAAGAGTAGCCACCCATGCCACACTAGGGCCAACCCCTTCTGCCAGTTGAGCCACGCTCATACCACAGCTGGCATCCCTTCCTTTTCCCACCCCAAATATGAGCAGTGGTCTTCAAGCTTGGGGCGTATCGGGGTGGGATTAGGGCAATGAAGCACCATCCTGAAGACACACACCGGGGCTGGGAGCTGAGAAACTGGCGGTCACTGAGCCAGCCGAAGAGGGGGTCGTTGAAGCTGTTCCAGAGGAGAAATACAGTCTGCAAGAAGCGAGAGATGGGAAGGTGGGCTGCACGGGGCTCCCAGCTCTAGTCTCTGCACTTCCCCCAAAGATGGCGGCAGCGTCTAGCTGGCAAGCTTTTGTTCCTGTCGGTTCTTCTATCAAAGCCCCTCTCCTGGCTGTTACACACATCAAACCCCAGGGACCCAGGGCAGCTGGTAAGCGTATCCAGCGGATTAAAGCATACGGCTACTTGTACTACAGTACATATGAACATACAACAGTGGACACCTAAGGCAATGGTCAGGAGTGCTACTAGGATCCTCCTGGAGAGTCATTAAGACCCCCAACCAGCTTGCTGGTCTTGCTAAACAACACAACCTGCCGGAAAGCACCTAACACCGAGACAGAACCCAGCCTTTCTGTCTGCCTGGAAACCTGATGACCCAGTCTCCCACAGAAGACAGTACTGGCTGCCCCATGCTTGGCCTACCTCTCCAATCCAGAAGGACACTTTGTTGATCTTATACACCGAGACAAAGGTGTCCACATAGTACAGCAGGAACACATTATGCAGGATGGAAATGAAGAGGGCCAAGGAGCCATACACCACGGCTGTGGGCAGGCCCAACAGCCAGGCTTGGGGCCAGTCTAGCCCCATGGCTGCTGCCCAAGCTTCAGCCCCAGGAGCACTGAGGAGGGCTGGCAGAGGTTGGCAATCTGACCATTCTTGTCTCTGGGGAAGAAGAAGCCAGTTAGCAACGAGGATCAGCACACACACACACACACACACACACACACACACCCCGTAAGATACAATAACTCATTCCAGGCTGGGGTCTACTAGTCTACCTCCTAGGTTTAATCCCTGGTGCTGAAAATTCTTTTTCTTAAACTCATCTCCTTTGGGAAGGGATCTGCATGTGAAACAATCCAAGCCAGAAGCCGCCACTCTGGAGCTGCTCCAGGAAACAGACAGCCCATGGGAAAAGAAGACAGGCATCCGACAGCTCACATCATAGGGCTGGCTGCTCAGCACACTGTACAACCCCAGCTGTCTAGACCACGGTGGGGTCAGGCAGATGCCTACAGCAGCAGTCAAGGCAACCGTAGTTTCTTTTCTCTGAAAGGTCAAAGGGAATCATTAGGCAAAAGAACAGGCGGATTAAATGAAAAAGCCCATAGGAAATGTTCCGTGAGCCAGGCATGATGGCACACGCCTCTAACCCAGGAAGGCTGAGACAGGAAATGCTGAAGCCCTCCTGAGAGAGGGGGGAGTGTGTTCAATAAACACACGTTGGTATGACTATTATCTTTACAAAATCCCAAGAAGCACTATTATGGTTTTATAGAACAGTCCCAAATTTAAAAAATGCTGAGGGTTGGAGAGCTGGCTCAGTGGTTAAAAGCACTGACTGTTCTTCCAGAGGACACAGGTTCAATTCCCAACACCCACATAGCAGCTCACAAGTGTCTGTAACTCCAAGATCTGACACCCTCACACAGACATACAAATGTAACACACCTTAAAATAATATTCCACTACAGGGGAAATTAGAGTTGACTTTACAAGAATACAGCAAACACTGAACTAATACTCAAGACACCTGAGTACCGCACCAGGCACAAGGCAGATACTCAAAAACTAGCTTTTTTACCCGGCAGTGGTGGGTCAGACCTTTAATCCCAGCACTTGGGAGGCAGTGGCAGGCAGGAAAGAAAAAAAAATAGCCTTTTCTTTCTTGAGATAGTGGGAGTTTAGAACAGGATGGCCTGGAACTCACAGCTTTTTCTTAAAGAAGACTAGGCCAGAGCTGGTAGAGTATCCTAGGACTCAGGCCACCTTCCAAAGTAAGGGAAGTAGAGGGAAAACGTGGGCACGGAGGGAGTCAGAGAGGAAGCCTGCGAACACCAACACCAGAATGAATCACAGAGAAGAGCTGCTGTCACAGACCTCAGGAGCAGGCTGAGCTTTCCACACAGGTGAGCCAGCCCTGGAGCTGCTGGAGGAAGGCCGTGCGCTGGTACTTCCCAGCCTGGCTCCTCTGGTTTTCCTATCCTCCACCCACTTCACAAGAGAACACAGGCCCCACCAAGGATTGTTCTAGTTGCATAAGCTGCAGATCATATAACCTGCAACCAGGCTCACCACCCCCTTGCATACTTCACCTTGCATAAGAGCTGGGGCCTGTCCTGGGAATAGCCTAGCTGGTGGCCTTGGGCCAGCTACTCCCTCTCCCTGGGCCAATGGGGAAGTTAAGACCAACTCTCTCTCTCTCTCTCTGTTTGTTTGTTTTGTTTTTTTCAAGACAGGGTTTCTCTGTGGTTTTGGAGGCTGTCCTGGAACTCACTCTGTAGACCAGGCCAGTCTTGAACTTACTGAGATCTGCCTGCCTCTGCTGGGATCAAAGGCATGCACCACCACCGCCGCCGCCAGGCCCAACTCTCTAAAAGTGGGGCTTAAATGCAAAGAAACAGAAAGCACCAGGCAGCAAGCCTGAGACACTGATGACTCTCCATAAGCAATAGCTCTTCCCGGGTTTCATGGCTTTTAAAAATCAGCTGGGAATTGGGGATATGGCTCAGAATGTAAAAGCATTTGCCATGCAAATGCCAAGACCTGCGCTCCATTCATGGAGCCCACATAAAAATGCAAGGTGAGGTGCTGGAGGGGTGGCTCTAGCTAGGAGCATTACTGTTTTTGTGTAAGACCCATGTTTAGTTCCCAGCACATGCAGGGCAGGTCACAACCACCTGTAATCCAATTCTGGGGATCCATTGCCTTAGGACTTCCATGGGTTCCTGCATGCAGATGGTGCATACACACACACTCAGGCAACACGCATACAGGTAAGATTAAATATTGGGGGATGTTGAGACAGGGTTTCTCTGTGTGACAGCCATGGCTGTCCTGGAACTCACTCTGTAGACCAGGGTGCCCTCGAACTCAGAGATCCACCTGCTTCTGCCTCCTAAGTGCTGGGATTAGAGGCGACCACCATCACCTAGCTAAATAAATCTTAACAAAAAAAAAAAAAAAGTGTTCTTGGGCAAGGCATGGTGACATACAGCTTTGTGTTGTTGTTTTGTATTTCGAGACAGGGTTTTTCTGTGTATCCCTGGCTCACCTGAAACTTGCTCGGTTGACTGGGCTGGTTTCAAACTCACAGAGATCCATATGACTCTGCCTCCCATCGCTGGGATCAAAGGTGTGCACCACCCCAGCCCCCCACCCCAGCCCCAGGCTGTGGCATTCACCTTTAATACCAGCACTCAGTAGACTGTTCAGGCAGATCTCAGACTTTAAGACAAGTCTGACCTACACACTAAGTCCTGGGCCAGCCAGCATTACATAGTGAGATCTTGTCTTAAAAAATAAGTTTTTTAAGGAATGAAAGGCAAGGACCAACCTGAGGTTGTCCTCTGACTTCTACACATTCATTGTGACCCACAAACGCATTCCCTTAAATGCAAACATGTACAGATACACAGATATCATTATATAATATATATTATATATATTATATATAATATATATATATATATTGTTTTCTTTTTTTAAAAAAAATCAGTTAGGGACCCCTAACAAATACATAACTAAAGTCTTTTTTTTTTTTTTTTGCTATTTATTTGACATAGAATTCCACTATGTATCCTGTGCAGACCTGAAACTCCCTAAGTAGACCAGACTGGCATCAAACTTGTGGCAATCCTCCTGCCTCAGCCTCCGTCATGCTAGAATTACAGGTGTGTGCCTCCACACCTAGCTGATTGTCATTCCGTGTTCAATATGGGTGCCCTCACTGCCTGCAACCGTCCCTCCTTTCCCATGTGTCATTCTCCAAATTATTTTTTAAATGCCACCGCCACACTTTGATTCCAGTGGTACCTTCCATCCAAAAAGCTCTGGATGTGACTGCCGGCTCTCACGCACTGAGGACAGGCATGGGTTCCACATCCACAGTCACAAGCTATGAGGTACTGGAACCAAGGGTCAAAATCGGTTTTGACTACAGATTTTAACACTCCTCACGTCACCAAACACCCTCCTCCACGGTCTCACCAAATCCTGCTCAGTCGGTGTCCAGGCAAGGGCGATCACCTCCAGGCTCCGTCAGATATTGTCTATCTTTTCAAATACCTGCTTCCTTATCTCCCTCCAGCCCACAAGTTCCTTAAAAGCAAGGCTAGGCCAGTCCCACTGCAAGTGCTCAATTAATACCTGCTTAGTCTATTGTCCCTAAAGGGCCAATGTGGGTGTCCTCTGCCTTAGAAAGGGCAATCACTGGAAAACTCCCGGAGCCCGCATCGGGTGTTCTGATCAGCTATGGACATTGGGACATCTGTAGCAACCTGGAAACACGTGGAGCAAGGCCGCAGATGGACAGAGGGGAGTGTTGAAAACAGCCAAGAGTAACATTTCTCCAAGGACACAGCACCCTGCTCAGAAAACAATGTGGAGAACGTGGCCTGGGCAGTAAAAGCGGCGGGACTAGGAGGCGTTTTGTTTGTTTGTTTGTTTGTTTGTAAGCCTCCAGCAAGATTCTATCAGGATGATGGAGGGCACCAATTGAGTCCAGTAAGCAGCTGACCGGACCGGGTCGTTTCACGCCGTTTTCGGCATCTTCACAGCCCGGCCAGCAGGGCCCTAGGAGAACTGTGGCAGAGCCCTGTTCTCTCCCTCTATTAACAGTTGACACTCCTCAGGTTTTCTCCCTCTTTCACAGAATTCTTTGGAATCACAGGCCACTTCTAAGTCCCTGAGGAATTGAAAATCAACCCAGGAGCTTTTCACTCGGAAACACGTGTAGTGGTTCTCACCGTGTGCATTAAAACACTAATTCTCCAGCACCAAGGCTCAGGCCTCACCCAGACCACTAAATCGGGGTCTCTGGAGGTGATGCCCAGTGGAATTTCTTCAAGCTTTCCAAGCAGCTCTACTGTGTCACCGGGGTTAGGGCCATTAGGTCATTAAGTGAACCCCGGCCTGAGCATTCGCATCCACGAACTCAGATTCCTCTAGGGACCACCTAGACACTCATCCCCTTTCCTTACCCCAACAGAGCCCCTCTGCAGGGATTCTACGCTTGGCCCTTGAACCCAACTCCTCCTGACCCCAGAATTTTCCAATCCACAATCTGACACCGCAAGGGACCTCACAAACTGTCCCAGTGACTCTCACGCCGCAATGCATCCCCGCCCCACCTACGGGCTTATCGTTTTTAGCAGATCGGCCCCCGTATCCGCTTGGGCCACGGGCCAGCAGCTCACCGCAATCCTGACAGAGGATGCCTAATTCCGTGGTTGCGGGGAGCCAGGTGCCAGACAGTGCGCCTGCGCGCTGGCAGCCTCGGGCTTCCCGGGTCTCTCCCTCCGCCCCTTCCCAGCGATTGGCTCCGCGCTGCTCTCCCGACCGCAGCTTGGGCAGGTGACCGCGCCTGAGGCTGTCGCTGCCATATTTGTCACGGGCTCTCGCCCTTGGGGACCCAAGAGAAAGTGGGCATCAGCAAACAGGTTGCTCTTTTGCCTCCACGAAAACTGTCATTTCAGCTCAAATCAAATTTCCCTTTGGGACGCTCCCCTCCCTTCCCTGATCCTAGGGTTCAGAGGATGAGCATTTAGCACCGCCTTAAGGCCCAGCTGAGGCAGCTATTCACGACCAGGGACTATCTAAGACTGGATTGTGAGCCCTGTGAGGACGAAGTCCTGCTTGAGCTGTGGACATGGGGAATCGGATCACAGGAAGAGCCAGGGGATCTTAGACACTGGGGCTGGGCCATCAACCAACCCACAAGCACAGCTCGACCCCTTCATAGCAATAAGAATTGGAAAAGGAATCTCAGTGCCAGAGCTGACCGCCAGCCCCTCACGGAGGAGCATTATATCAACCTGCCCACTCTCTAACAGCCTCTCCTCTGCGCTAGACTCTGGACGTTGCCATCCCGTGCTGCAAGGGCGCTCGCTCAGTGGATCTAACGTAGTAAAGTCTTCTGCACGCGTGGCACTGTCTCCCGTGAGCGCCCGTGGGAGGCCAAGCCTGATCTTAAATTGTACAGAGGAGATTGAGGAGGAGCAGGCTGCTTCTAAGAAGGCTGTGACCATGAGGGAAGGGACCAGCTCCAGCTCCTGAGGCCACTGCTGTCCAGCCAGAGGAGGCAGAGGGGGCCAGAGGACGCACAGGTGCCCTCCACGCCCATCCAGCAGTTCCTGCTGAAGACCGGAGTGCTCAGCCAGCCACTGAAGACTGGTCAGCGGCTCCCACAGTGAGGGCACCAAGTGGGTTGGAGCCACCATTGAGTTGCCCTGAGCTGCTCTGCAGACACCTAAGCGTGCGGGGGGGGGGGCGTGGGGATGGGGAAGAAGGTGGAAGGAAAATAAAGTTCTGAAAAATGTTAAAAAGGAGAGGAGAAAGCCATGCCTGGTGGTGCTGGCTTGTAATTCTTTTTGTTGTTTGTTTTGTTTTATGAAACAGGTTTTCTCTATGTAGTTCCAACGTCCTGGAACTCACTGTGCAGACCAGGCTTTCCTTGAACTCAAAGAGATCTTTCAATCTCTGCCTTTAGAGTGCTGAGATTAAAGATGTGATCTGTAATTCTTGCCACTCAGAAGGCTAAGGCAAAAAACAAACAAACAAAAAACAAAAACAAAAAACCAAGGCGCTGTAACAGGGCTAGGGGTACACACAAATAACGTAAGGAACACGGAGCCCCTTACTATGTACCGTGAAAAATAGGTACACTATTCTGAATGCATTTTGCTCAAATTATGCATGGGAAGTGGATGCTATTATTTCCACTTACAGCTTAAAATAACCACGGGGTGGTGGTTGACCTATTCCTTTATTCCTAGCGCTAGGGAGGCAGATGCAGATGGATCTCTGTGACTTTGGGGCTAGGCTGCTCTACAGAGTGAGTTCCAGGACAGCCAAGTCTGTAGGCAGATTTTTCTGATCCATCTGCCAGCTCCCAAATGACCTCATGGAGAATTATTAATCATGAAAGCTTGGCAGATAGCTTAGGCTTGTTCCTACCTATGCCTTAGAACTTAAATTAAGCATATCTTTTACTATGCATCCTTTTACATGACTCGGTCACCCTTACTTTGTAATGTCCATGTTGCTTGCCCTACGTCCCTGGTGTCTCCTGCTTCTTCCCAGGGTTCTCTGTGCCTGGAAATCCTAACTAGCTGTTGGCCGGTCAGTTTTTTATTAAAGCTTTGTATTTTCACAGTATACAAGGAGATTGTTCCACATTTCTCCATTTTGCTAAATAAAAAGGGGAGGCTTTGCTGGGTGGTGGTGGCACACACGTTTAGTCCCAACACTTGGAAGGCAGAGGCAGGAGGATCTCTGTGAGTTTGAGGCCAGCCTGGTTTACAACACAAGATTCCAGGACTGTTACGCATAGAAACCTTGCCACACACACACACACACACACACACACAAAAGGAAAGGTTTCATTTTGAACATAGAAAACTATATATTATCAGATAAGAATTAAATTTACAATGTCTAGTCCATTTGTATTTGGCATATTTGGGGGGAAATGCCCCATTATTTAATTCTCTCCAAAACTCTGTACCTAATTTAGCTTCTACAATAACTAAGGAAAATGGCAACTATGATTTTAACTCCATCAAAGACCCCAGAAAGACATAATTTTACCTGAGTAAACAGGAAGTGCAGTGCACATCTCTCCCAAACCTGTAGAAATGACAGAGACATCTGGCCTTGGACAGTCCCCCAAGGTTTCCCCTGTAACCCCGGGGCTTCCTTTTTCTGCCCAAAGGCCTAGAATATGTGATAGACTTTTTTATGAAGCGAGAATTTTGAAAGACTACCCTACCTCATCTTGACCAAGTTCAACAATCTTTTTCCTTTGTGTCCTGCTTATCCAGTTTGTACAGCATACCTTTGGCAGTCAAGGCAAGGGCAGTTTCTTACCCAAATGGCTAGTTTTGCCACACTGAAAATAAACTCCTTGTGGAGTTTTTTTGATGCCCATAATCTCCTCTGAAGTAAATTGGTGCTATCTGTCATGAAAAGTCTTATGTTAACAAAACATTTTAAATGCCATATTCTGCAGGTCTTTGAAGTTTTTGCTATGGATTATGCTCATTATTAGTAAAACAAACAAACAATAAACTGATTGCCAATAGCAGGGCAAGAAGAGATTGGGCGAGGCAGCCTGACACAGAGAATGATGGCAGGAGGGAGGGTTGGGGAGGAAGGTTGGGGCATCAAGAGAGATGCCAGTCAGTTGCCAAGCAACTGTGTAAAAAATGAGGGAACAAGCTATGAGCCATGTGGCAGAGCATAAATAGAAATAAGGTTAATTAAAGTGTAAGAGTTAGCTAGTAACAAGCCTGAGCTATCAATTGAGCATTTATAATTCATATTCAGCCTCTAAGCTGGTTATTTGGGACCCAGTGGTTGGGACAGGAAACATCCGTTTACAGTGTGTGAAAACCAACTATCCATCTAAAATAGATCTGTTTGACGTTGAAAACTTACCTGACATGACCTCAAGTTTGATTGCTATAGGTAACTACAAACCTGGGTTTCTTTATTATACTAAAGATTTTGTAATAGTAACTTTTAAGGACAACAAATTTGCATTACATTGTTAAGTGAGCTGTATAGGTACAATACCTTAAAGAAAAGTAGATGTACAGTGTATCCTAACAAAAATAACCTTAAATTGGTATCAGTATACAAAACCCATACCAATGTAAGATATTTGAGACTCAGCAATCCGCTCTTCTATCTGGTCAGTTTTATAGTACATTCCCCCTTTTTCTCTTCAGAATGACATCCCCGAATCTAATCTTCTTTTAGTCTTCTCTCTTACCGTGACCAATAACAATTGTGACCACCCCTGAAATGATGACAAATATCTCACGGAATGACTGAACACCTTAGGATAATGATCAAATCTTGGCTGGAGTAGTCTGAGGCTGGACCATCTTAGCCAGAAGCCTTGCAGCTGTTCCGGATGCAGAACTCTGAGGAAGCTGCAACAGAGGCGCCCTGAGAGGCTGGATCACCTGGGCTTTCACTAGTGTATGGTCCCCTTGCTCTGCAGGCATGTAAACTTTCAAAGGTGACTGCATTAACACATGTATAGACTGTGCATTGTACATAAGTCAGTCAAAGGTGAATTCTGTGCTATGCTTGAGCAACCAAAATACATGTCTCCTGTCTTCTAGTTTTTCTAGGTTTATTTCTTTATGTCTGTAGCCAGGATTTTCAGGGGGGGGGGTCTTCCCTAATCAAACCTGATCCTCTTTAACTTTGAACAAATCTACAACCTTTCATTTTCTGTGGAAACAAAAGCATAACCTCTTCTCCAATGCAACATATTTTTTCTTAGATTTTGAAGTTAAGACACTTAATGTGTATATATATTTGATTTAATTTAGCAGTTTCCATAAACCAATGTATCGCAGCAGCTATTGTTTATTCATTAGCAATCAAAAAATTCAAACACAATATCATACAGGATCCAGATTCCTTGTGTGTTTTCCATCTCTACATGGCTTATTATTGTTATTATCTTCATTTTATTATTATTACTTTATTTCTTCTTTAAAGGCTTTACTTTTCAGGCAGTGGTGGCACATGCCTTTAATCCTATCACTCGGGAAGCAGAGGCAGGCAGATCTCATGAGTTCAAGGCCAGCCTGGTCTACAGAGTAAGTTCCAGGACAGCTAGAGCTGTTATACAAAGAAATCCTGTCTTGAAAAACAAAAAAGCCTTTATTATTTTTAAACTATTTTTTACTTTTACTACAGTCTATATCCCTTTTCTTTCTTTCTTTTTTTTTAAGCGGACTCACATTGTTAAACACTAAATGCAATGTAACTTATTTAGAGGCTTTGTTTTTTCCATCGGAACCTGCTTTACTGCTTATCTGTAACCTCTTCTGTCTGAATGAGCCAAATCTTAAACTGTATGCAGTGAGGTGCTGGTGGCTCAAGCCTGAAGGCTGTGGCTGGGAGACACGTCTCTGCACCATGGCCTCAACGACACTGTGGGATAGGAAGCCATGTTTGGCTCTGTTTTTGTGTGTTTGGAACCTTTTACGAAACTTCCTTGGGTCTCGCCCACAGTAGCGGCGCACACCTTTAATTCCCAGCACTCAGGAGGCAGAGTCGGGGATCTCTGTGAGTTTGAGGTCAGCCTGGCCTACAGAGTGAGTTCCAGGACAGGCTCCAAAGCTACCGAGAAACCCTGTCTGGAAAAACCAAACCAAAACAAAAACCCTTTCTCAGATCTTATGTCCCCCTTCTCTTTTGTGACAACAGCAAAGGGCTCACCCACAGCAAATGGTCTCACAGGAGCCTGTTCAACCCAGACCTAGAGAGCCCTCAAGGATCCCTCAAACAATTCCAGACACTATATTAGCATGCCTCCCTTTCTCTCCTCCCTCAAACCCTCTTCTAACCTGTGCCCCCATTCTGGAAAACGCAATCTAAGAATATAAGGACATGATCCAAGGTGCCATGAGATGCAAGAAAGGCAGACAGATACAAGATTGCAGAGTGAAATTTATTTCAGGACTTACTGACATAAGGAGTGACCACAAGACCACCGGGTCCCTCCAACGTGGGTCTGAAGGAAACATGCATATTAGGACAAAAGCCACTTCATCCCGTCAGAATGCCCCTTGTTTTTATTACTCTTTACTCCTTTGGGGGTTCACCCAGCTCCCAAAGAAATCAGTGTTTCGTTTTTACTTTTGAATGTCTGGTCTTAGCTTGGCTTGTTCTTGGCAGGCTTTGGTAAACTTAACCTGTCTACCTTTTACCTCTGGGCTTTTTCCTTTTCTTATTACTGTATGTCACACCTTCACTCTTACTCCATGGCTGGGTAGCTAGGTGGCTTGTCCCTAGGGTCCTCCTCTCCTTGTTCTCTTGCTCCTTCGTTCTTCTCCTCCTCCCTCTATTTATTCTCTCTGCCTGACAGCCCTGCCAATCCTTTCTCCTGCCTCGCTATTGACCGTTCAGCTCTTTATTAGACCATCAGGTGTTTTAGACAGGCAAAGGATCACAATTTCACGAGTTAAACAAATACAGTATAAACAAAAGCAACGTATCTTTACATCGTTAAACAAATGTTCCAGATCATAAACAAATGTAATACACCTTAAAATAATATTCTACAATAGTCCCTGCTTTATGCCCCCCCCTTTTTTTTCCTTTGAGACAGGGTTTCCCTCTGTAAACTTGGCTGGTCTTGAACTCAGAGATCTGCCTGCCTCTGCCCCAGAGTGCTGGAGTTAAAGGCATGCACCACCATGCCCAGCTCTACCTTTAAAAAAAAAATATATTTTTGATTTATTTTATTATTGTGTGAATGTTTTGCTTGCACGTATGTTTGTGTACTATGTTCATGCCTAATGCCCATGGAAGACAAATGGGGTGTCAGGTCTCCTGCAACTGGGACTGCAGTTACAGGCAGTTGTGAGCCACCGCATTGGTGCTAGAAGTTGAATTTAGGTCTTCTACAAGAGCTCTTCATTCTTGCTTCTTAGGGCATTTTTCTCAGGGCTTCTACTTTTCCCATCAGTGAGGCTTTGACCACAAAGTTCCCTGAGCAAAGCCTACTTAGGATGCTGTATTTCCAAATGCCTCACAAGATGCTGATGGGAAATACTAAGTGTGCATCACCGGGAGTCAGGGTGGGGGAGACAGGACAGGACACGACCACTCAAACAACAAAAAGGGAGTTTATGGTCTGGGTAACTGTGCCACCAGGTCACGTTTACCATAATCACAATGCGAGTTCCTTCTGCCTCTTGGCTTCATTTCTTCTGACTCCACATTCAGTGACTGAGCCCCCTGGCTCAACCAGAACTGCACAGCTAGACCCTGCTTCAAAAAGGGGGAAGGGCTGCAGAGATTAAGAGCACTGCCTGTTCAATTCCCAGCACCTACATGACAGCTTACAACCAACCATAGTAAATCCATCCCCTCTTCAGACCTCCATGAGCTCTAGCACACACACAGTGCACAGACATAGACTCAGGCACACACACATGTGCATAAAATGAATATTTTTAAAGATGTATTTATTTATCATGTGTACAATGTTCTGCCTGAATGTATTCCTGCAGGCCAGAAGAGGGCACCAGATCTCATTATAGGTGGTTGTGAGCTACCATGTGGTAGCTGGGAATTGAACTCAGGACCTCTGGAAGAGCAGCTAGTGCTCCTAACCTCTGAGTTATCTCTCCAGCCCCAATGAATAATTTTTTAAAAAAAGACGAAAGTGTAGCATTCCCCAAATATGAGGACTATTTCTAGAATTGGGGTGAATAAACACTGACTCACAGATTCATCCCTATTCCCCTCATTATGCCTAAATTCTCCCAGCCCAGCAAAGCATGCCCGCAAGCATGCACGAAAGGATGCAGGCACCAATAACAAATGCAGGTCCTTCACTTCTGTCTCAGCTTGAGCTTGTTGACATGTATCTGTTCACCAAGCAGGTAAGACGAGAGAGATACCCCTGAAGAAGGTAGAAAAGGCCGAGCTGCCCATGTGGCCTCACGCCCAGCCTGGGGTGAGATAACCCATGGGTAATCCTGGATATTCCTCAGGGGACACAGGGGACAAAGTTACATAAATTACAAGTTATACAGACAGGAGCCCTTTTGACAAACTGAAAATGAAATCGTTTAGGACAAGACAAATTTAACAGTTATGGAGGCTCAGAGTCTGAAATGGGTCCCCTGGCTAAAAGGAAGGCGTCGGCTCAACTCTGTTCCCTTCTGCAGGCTTCTGTAGTTGAATCTCTTGTCTCACTCTCCCTGGTGGGTAAAGTCTTTTCTGGCAGGCGTCAGAGTGACTCTGGCCTCCCCCTTCCATGTTTGAAGTCCTTATAGGGACAATGGGTTCATGTGTAATCCAGAACACTCTCTTAAAATTTATCATTTTATTCATTATGAGTTTGCTTGCAAGAATTTGTGCAATACGTGCATGGAGGGACCCTTAGAGGCCAGATCCCCTAACACTGCAGTTGCCGGTGGCTGTGAGCCACCACGTACGTGCTGGACTTTACAGAAAGGGACGGAAGTGGCTACGGATCGCAGAATTATGCAGTGAGAGCTCAGCTGACAAAATCATGGCGCTAACGCACCAGGCTCATCCAGGGATGAAGCCCACGGGCAGGGTGGTGGGAGTAGTCACTGTTCCTACTGTAATTCCCTGTGACGTCATAGTGCTCCCTTTCTGTGGTGGGATTCACCCCGCAAACTCCAGCAGTGTATTAACCAATTACCAGGCACATTTCCCCCTATGCAATCACATATGAATGACTGCCCCCAGCAGTGCATGATTCTGGCAAGAAAGGAATCACAGTCAATACCCCCACTCTCTCAACCAGGTCTCTGTATAAACTTAGAAGCCTGTCCATGCAGTTGTCTTCCTTGGCAGACAATTGGTCAGTACTAGTGTCTAGGCAAAGAGACCTCAATTGAGACATTCACTGATGCCCAAGGACAAGAATTACGGCATGTCTGAAGTTGTTGACCATGGCTCTCAGAGCCAGAGAACAAGAGTGTCCCGGATTCTCTGTGCCAGGAGAGAGGAAAGAGCTGTCCCAAGCTAACCTCACGTTAACCTTAAAGCATGCCTATTCTTCACTTGCCAGTCCACTAACAATGGATCTGTGTCTTAAAGTTGTCACTGGGCACTGTGCCCTCCCTGTCTGGTCACTATTTTTCTCCTATGGCCTTGGACCCTTGTGTTGCTATGGTAAATGGATCAGCTCCTTATCGATTGCTCTAGGAATGTGTTTTTGACCAACGAAAGAAACTTCTTTATCCCTTCAAGGCTCCTGAAGGAGAAGAGTTTTTAGATTAGAAGAAGCATGGAGGAGTTAGAAGTAGGGCAGGATTATTAGAGGAGAAACAAAACAGTGAAGAGCACAGGAAACAAAGAGCACGACCCTCAGATTGTGTGTGAAGTTACTATAGAAATCATTTACCCCTTCTTCACTCCTAAAAAGCATTTCACCTTTGAGACCCTGGGTAGGGGCTGGAGCAGGTCCCTTAGCTCCTACAGAAAAGGGGCCTGGAGAGGTGGCTCAGCGGTTAAGAGCACTGACTGCTCTTCCAGAGGTCCTGGATTCAGTTCCCAGCACCCACATGGCAGCTCACAACTGTCTGTAACTCCTGTTCCAGGGGATCTGACACCTTCACACCAATGCACATAATATAAATAAGGGGGGTGGGGTAGAAGTGTGCAACGTTCTGAGGAGTGTATCTGTGAGCTGGGGCCATTGCTGCTAGCTTAGGGTCACTAGGCCCTCGTTTCTACTCGGCCTACAGACTGGCTGGCTCCTAGCCAGCCCAGGTGTTTCTCTTTGCCTAGTAACAGAGGTGTGGCTGCCGCAGGCATGGAAGAGAAACACACAACTGAAAAGCCAGAGAAGCTGCACTCTGGACCGCTCTGGCTCTCCCGAAGGCTGGAGAATAACCCGCTAGGCTGAAAGAGGCAAGTGAACGGACAGTTAAAGGGGAGAGCACATCTGGGTCTGCGAACGCAAAAAGCCTGGGTACCAAAGGGCTTGTTTGTTTTGAGACAGGGTCTCTTGTAGCCCAGGCTGTTCTCCAACACTATGTATGACCCTGGATTCCTGGGCTTCGTGCCTCTACTCTAGGAGTCCTGGGATTACAGGCAGGATCCACCACACCGGGTTTATATGCGTGGTAGGATCGAACCCTGGGCGTTGTGCATGTTAGGCACTCTATTAACAGACCTACATCCACAGCCCTGGAATGACAGATGAGGAGGTGGGGAGCTGAGCGCCTGGCTCAGGAAGTTTTCTCAAAGCCACCAAACAGTCACGCAAAGCCCCAGACCATGAACCAGAGCCCGGGGCGCAGCGACTTGTGGTGGTTAAGAATTAAGTACCTATCCACCCATCCGCCACAGGTCTGCACTCAGCAAAAACGCTCGTCGCCTGAGGTTCAGGCCATGTACTCCTACGTCTGCCTGCCGCCAGGGGAGGGCGTGTGGCCTCGGCTGCAGACCCTCACCTACACCTACCTCCCCGCCCCTCTGCTGCTGCCGCCCATCCACACCCACAACTTCTGCAGCCGGCCGGCAGCGGAATTCCGCTGCTTCCACGGTGCGGGCGCGGCTCTGGGCTCCACGCCGCCCTGGTGGCCCTTCCTGCCGCCGGGTGCCGCCACCCTTGGCTCCTCGTCGTCCGCCGCCGCCGCGGCCGGCGCGCATGCACCATCCCAGCCCGCGCCCGACGCCGAGCGCCGGGCACCGTGGCCCGAGGGCGGCAGCCTGCAGTTGCAGCTGCGCTGGGGACGCGTGGAGCGCACGCGGGGACCGGCCCTGCCGCTGCCAGACGCGGTGCGCCGCGACTTGCGGCGCGTGTACGGCACCTACCCGCGCACCGACGTGCGCGTCACCCAGCGCGGCGGCCAGTTCCTGGTGCGCGCCGCGCCGCGCGTGGGCGAGCCCGAGTACCGGGTGGCGCGGCGCGTTATGCATCGGCCGGCCGGCCGCGACGACGCGGACAGCGGGGACAGCCGGGCCGCTCCGGAGCCGGGGCAGCGTGGCCGCCCCAGGAAAAAGCAAGGTCTGCGCTGAGCTCCTCACCGCGCCTGCGCGCCTGCCGGCCCCTGCCCTTCGGTCCCCGCACCTTAGCTTCTCTCGAGTTACTGCTAGACGGTGCGGGAAAGGAGAGAACGGGGTTTCCGGCCGGAGCGTCTTGGGGTGAGAGCAGCACCTGGCTGCTCCTGCTTTCCCTCCTTAGCCGTCTGTGTGGTCCCCTCCGAGAAACCGAGGGAGGAGCCACAGCATCCCCCAGCTTGGAAAGGGAAGTCAGTGAGCATCGCCCGACGCGCCACCCCTGCCCGGCCTGTTCTTCCTCCCCAGCGTGCAGTCTTCAGTCTTTACCAGACCTGTCTGCCTGGACTCACTATCCACACCCTCTGAAGACCTAGGGTGGTTTTGGAGTGTGGGAGTAACTGGGAAATGTCACCTGCGAGCTAGGTTTAGAGCTGGTTCTGACATTTCCTAGCCACGTGCGCCTCTCTGAGTCCCTCAACAGTCACATCTGCAAAACATAATATTAGCCTACCTCGATGTTTAGAGGAATGTCATTCTTTTCCCTTTTGTTGTTTTGGTTTTGTTTTTCAAGATATAACAGCCCCTAGCTGTCCTGAAACTCACTCTGTAGACCAGGCTGGCCTCGAACTCACAGAGATCTAGCTCCTGGATTAGAGGCGTGTGTCACCACAGCCAGCTCAAACTATGCTTTGAAACAAATGAAATTTACAAGTAAATGCTGCGCCCCACAGCAACATAACATGCTGTCTGTATTCTGCTCCTTTTCCTCCTTCTTGAAGTCTTTAAAACAACCCCTCCTCCCACCCAGTCCCCCTCCTTACCCCACCCCCCTTGCTGATGCTCTGCCTCCTCATAGCTTGTGCCCTGTAATTGCCCCTGGCTTCACGGCTGACCCCATCCTCTCCCCAGCGTACGGAAGGAGGAAGACCGCTAGTACAGGGTTTTAGAGACAGATGTCCCCTGCAGAGCCCAGCACACCACGCTCCACTTCCAGCCTGCAGAGCTGAATGCTTCTTTGTTTGGTCTCTTTAAACTGAGCTCTTAAAGCACAGGATTCATAAAACACCCACTGCCTGAGAGCTGGGTTCACTTGCTCTTCCAGGCTCCCTGCCTCAGTTTACATTCTATCAGGACCAGGTCACATACAAGGACATACAGTGCTCCCAGCTCCTGGGAGACATGAGCAAACGAGCCCTGATCCTCACAGATGCCTTCTGCTAACCCTGCTCTGGCACGCCTCAACCCAGCAAGGCCTGACAGATAAACTTCAAGCCCCACTTTATTTGGCAACTGCCCTTACCATTGAACAATGTCCATTCTACTTAGGAAAAAAAAAAAAAAAAAATCGAGTGGTTAAAGAGCACTGACTGCTTTTCTAGAGATCTTGAGTTCAATTCCCAACAACCATATGATGGCTCACAACCATGTGTAATGAGATCTGGTGCCCTCTTATGGCATGTAGGCATACATGCAAGCAGAACACTGTATACATAATAAATTTTAAAGGGAAAAAAGAAATTGAACAAAGCACTAATCAAGATGGTTCAGCCAATAAAGGTGCTTGAGTCCTAGCGGGAGGATCTGAGTTCAGTACTTGGGATCCACAGGATAGGAGAACTAACTCCCCCCAAGTAGTCTTTTGACCGCCACAAGCATCACACACTCACACACCACTGGATACATATAGTATCTTTAAGAACCATAGGCTCCCACACTTCTGAGGACTTGCTCTGCCAGGAGCCATTGCTAACGCTCTGTGCAGACATCTATTCACTCACTGAAGTTTATGCTCACAAACCTTTGATGTGAACATAACATAATTATTATTTCCATTTATATGCAAGGAGACTGACTCAGTTCTATATAGGTTACAAAATGAGAATATAGCCGGGCAGTGGTGGTGCACGCCTTTAATCCCAGCAGTAGGCAGATCTCAGAGAGTTCGAAGCCAGCCTGGTTTACGGAGTGCATTCCAGGGCAGACAAAGATACACAGAGAAACCTTGTCTTGAAAATTAAAAAAAAGAGAGAGAATGTAATTTGATTGACTTTAATCTCTAGGCCATACTTCCTCTTCATACATATGTAAAAAAGCTGAAAGGAATGTTTATTGAGGGAACTACCATGTGCAAAACACTGTGTTAGACACTAACAGGGTAAGGAGCGTCTGAATCTACCCCACCCCCCACCCTCGGGAAGCTGATAGAGGCCTTGGGACAAACAGGACTCAGATGCCCAATGATGGGAAAGAGGTGACCCAAGAATCCCTGAGCAGGAGACAGCCACAGTGAAAGCCTGGCGGCGGCAGGAGAAAACAGCAGGCCATCACCAACAAGAGCTGGGCGGAAGTCATCCTGGAGGACCAACAGCAAACAGCAAACAGGCCAGATGGAGTGGAGCATGGCTGTAAACACTTGGGAGGAAGAGGTTAGGAGTTCTCAGAGAGAGGTGGGGAGGAGGGAGGGGTGAGGGGCAGGATAGGTTCTGTTAGGAAGCCACTGAAGTCTAAGCAGAAGAGTACCCCAAGCCGATGTTATTCAAGAGTTTGGCCAGGCCCCCAGCAGTACCTTCTGGACAGCTGTGAATGAGATCCATTTGGTTTCCTGTAGCGTTGGTGCTGATGAGACAGCCAGCCGGGCACCAGAACTGAGTCCCTAGGGCATTTGCTAGAGCTCACAGCCTATGGAATTCAGTTCTCAGAGCCAGGTGGCTAATGTTCTCACAGCCTGGATGCTGCCCTCCAGAGCTCTGTTCTGTGAATTGTTTTTACATTTATTTAGTGTGGGGGGGGCATCCGAGGTCAGATGGTTTTCCCGCTCCACCCTGTGGGTTTCAGGGGCACCAGGTTTTGTGGTAAGTGCTTTGAGCCATCTCATTGGTCCCCTTCTGTAAAATATCCCCCAATCCCAACATGAACAAACTGAGATTCAGGATGTAGCCTCTGATATCAGAATACTTCCTACTCCCTCGGTGGTGGGTACCAAGCTTGGAACTGAAAATGGATTCCCACAGCTGGAGGAGTGAACAAGAACTGGAGGAGAGAGGCTCAGGGTATGGCAGGGCTGAGTATTGGCTGTAGGTCCTTTTATTGCCTGCCCAGATGTGTTCTTGGTGGGCTGGTATAGGAGCTACGGGGTGAGAGTCAGGGGCAAAAGCCAAAATCTGCACCTCATAAGGGTATGTGTCTGTAGTTGGAGGCACTCCCTACGCCAAGGGGGGGGTCTCCCAGACAGCCCCTCAGGAGTATTAGCTCAAAAAAATGGTCCACTTGCATGAAGGTCTTGAGTGTTTAGGATAGCTGAGTGGAGAAGAAAGGCTTCCCTGAAATGCATTTCCCGTTTCTGGAGAGTTAATTATGACAACTGGGTGCTAGGCTCACATGTCCCTGGAGGGGGACAGCCGAACCTGCAGACTCAGGAGTCACCCTCCCCACAGCCCTGCTGAACCCTGGGAAAAGAGCAGCACTCACCCACTGAGCCTCTTCTCTGGGATCCTTGGGGCTGGATCTGCAACTACCAACTGTGCTGAGCTCCTTAAATAGGCCCTCACCCTGGCCCAGAGCCCCACCCACCCATGCGGGCTCTTCTGAGAAAGGAGGAAGGTGTGGGAGGGCCAGGCATGCTGTCTGCTGCCCAGAGAGCCCTTTCTGACCTCAAGCCAGAGCCAGGGACAAGCCTACCCCAACCCTTTCTTCCAAGTGTGCCTTTCCTTATTTCAGTGCCTGGGTGCTCCTCCCACGCCCGGAGACCAGCCCTCTGGTTCTTTAGCTTTTCTTGATGCCAGGAACCCTTGCCCCGATGCCCAACTCAAACCCAATTCCTAGTTCTGAGGCATAGGCTGGGAATTACAGGCATAGCATACCGCATGCATAGGCTCCTAGTCTTTTCTGTCAACTGAGGAGACCCTGCAGCCTACATATATCACCTAAGGGAACAGAGAGGAGGCAACACTTGGCCTCCCCACGCCCTGTGCCAGGGGCTTCAAGCAGTACTCAGTAGAGCTGGCTCCCATCTTGGAGAAGGGGAACTTAGGGGACATAAAAGCAGGAACTATGGGCAAGGTCGGGTTAGCTGTGGAATCTCTAGCAAATGGTTTTCTAGCTGTTCTCAATCTGTGGGTCGCGACCCCTTTAAGGGTCAAATGACTTTTTTCACAGGGGTCACCTAAGACCATCGGAAAACATATTTACATTATAATTCATAACACTAGCAAGATTACATTTATGAATAGCAACAAAAATAATTGTATGGTTGGGGGTCACCACAACATGAACTGTATTAAAGGGTGGCAGCCTTATGAAGGTTGAGAATCGCTCTTCTAGATTCATGGAAATGTCACTTGACATTTTGTCTGTGGTAATCAGTTCCCTCCGCCCAACCTTCGGTCCTGGGGCCCCAGAACCTGACCAGTCTGCGGAGTTAAGTCTGCCCAGAGTCTGAGTTAGGAATAGAGGAGGAGCTCTCCCTGGAAACCTTTGGGATCATTCTCCCTGAGAAGCCAGGATGGTCTTTCTGGTATCTAGCTACACCCAAACAGCCAACCAAGCAAGAATCAGGAGTTGAGGAGAGAAGGCACAACCTGGGGTGGCTGCAGGGGTCTTACAGGGTCAGAACCTGTACGCAGGCCTGCTGAGGAACCCTGTAAGTTCCGGGAATGGGGTGGTAAGGAATGAATAGTCATCGGTATTGTGCAATGGATAAAGGAGAGGGGACACAGCAGGGGAGGGCTGGCGGGGCCTGGGGCTAAAGGGGAGACCGTCGGTCCCTTTCTAGAGGCCTGCTTGGCTAGAGTTCAAAGTGGCTGTCGCCGCTCCCCTTATTAACCCTAGCAGCGCCAGCCTGGCAGCAGTAATGCTTTTATAGGAGAAGCCAAGCTGGTTTCCTCTCTCCTCTTTCCTTCCCGGTTCCCAGCAGCCACCCATCCGCCGGGGAGGAGGGAGGCCGTGGTGAGGGACACGGGGGGGGGGGGAGAGACAGAAACCTCTCTTCTCCACATCTTGGCACTGCTTCAGTCTCTAGG